TGAAACAAACAAAAAAGAACGAAGAGAAAAAGCAAAAACAATCCTCCCGCAAAATCATATACATCATATACATACCAACACACTAGACTTCTTGTCTTTCCCGTTGTATATTCTTTTTTTACAAATGGCTGTACACTTATTATTGTATATTTCTTTACATATTATCTAATGCATTCCTATATCAATATGTGCTCTTAGTCTTCTTTCTCAACTCAGTCTCACTCACTACTACTATACCTTGCTCTTGGTCTTTCTCTTCCTGTATTAGGCAATTCCTCGCAGATTATTTTTATGGCCATCTGTAGGGCTGGCATATGTCTGGACATGATCAGGATTTCAAAGGCAGAAATAATGTCCAAGGGCAAATTTCTGAAATGTGGCACTCTGTCCTGGATCTTAGGCAAGTCAATCAAAAATGTGCATCTTTTCGGCAAAAAAAATTTTGGGGGGTCTTCCTCAAAAAAAATTCCTGGTTTTTATATTTAGAAATATGGCAACCCTATGGAAAGCTTCCTGGATAGAGTAGCCACACACAACACAGCACAGGGTCGTTCATTTATCTAGGGTTTTCCTTTAAAAAGCTCTACAATTATGGTGGTTTCCATATATATATATATATATATATATATATATATATATATATATACTTTTTGAAGTATGGCAACCCTACTATGTGTGTTTTGAGCTTTGCTCCATGGGGAAGCATTTTGTCAGTCTTCTGGTGGGTGTTATATTTATATAACTGAGGCTGCAATCTTATACCCATTTCCTCAGGGGTAAGGCCCACTGAACTCAATACATTTTGAGCAGACATGTATAGGATCCCACTATTAAATTAGGAATCAGAATGTGCAGGGAGCGGGGGGGGGGGGCGATGAGGCCTGGCCCAATTAGACCTTTCCAAACTTTTCATGCTGGTGATACACTTTTGAGACACGCATCATTTCGCGATGCAGTAATTTAGTTTTACTAGCAAAATGGAGGTTAAACTAACCCTTTCCAGCCCTGGAAGGAGCATGGGGAGGATTTGCGTGACACAACTACACACTGCAGCCGACACACTAGTGTATCACGACACAGTTTGGAAAACTGCATTATACCACCATGCCAGTACTGAAAAGTACCTTTTTGCTCTGCTTTATAGTCATGCTCGTTTCTTGGCTTTTCTCAAAAGATGCTGTAGCTGGCTTCCCAACCTCCAAATTCATATGCCTTATTTCCAAGGCTTTTTTTCCAGCCAGAATTAAAGTTCCTGCACCTCTCAGGTGCGCGCCATTACCATTCTAAGAGAACAAGGGAGGCATTCATGGCAACTTCCATGAAAATAGCATTGCTCTATCTATCTACCTATCTATCTATCTACAGCCACATAATTTCCCCGAAAGAATCTTGGGAACTGTAGTTTAAGGGTGCTGGGAATTATAGCTCTATGAAGGTTAAACCAGAGTTCCCAGATTTCTTTGGAGGAAGATGTGCTTTAAACATATATGATGTGTACAGAGCATGTGACAAATCCATCTAATTACTATCTAGCAGACACATCAACTTCTGTACTAAAAGATTGCACGTCTTCAGGCAGGACCTTTTGATTGACAGGGTACAAAAGGAAGAGAAGTGGGAGAGAATTGGAAAGCGGGTGCGGGAACAGCTCTTCCTTCACTGGCCAGTTGATGGAGCTAGGTTGGTCCCCTTGCCACGATGTTCTTCCTGGCTAGTGGAAGAAGCCAGAGAGCAGCTTCCTTTAGTTCTGCAGTCCTGGCAACAGCATTCTAGTACAAATCGAGAGTGAGAACCGGTCAAAGGTATGAAATATCAGGGACGCTTTCTGTGCTTTCCTCTTTGGGCCCATATGATAGTTTAGGTCCTTTCGTTGCCACAGGAGACCAATTTCCTCCCTGTGCAGTGCAAGGCTACTTACTATACTGTATTGACATTTCCTGGCTAGTCCCAATTTGTGGTTTGGAAGCGATCCAAGGCTTGCTCCCAAGGCAGCTTTAATAAATATCGAAAGTGAGGACTCCAGTCACATGGTCTCGAATAAGGATAGTAAGCATTTCACGGGAACCCCACAGATTGCAGTCTGCTTGGATATAAGATGAAGCCTTCAGCAACTCAGCAGGAAGTGGGTTTTCTTTTTGCCAACGTGACACCCTTGTGCTGGCTAGGGCCAATGGGAATTGTAGTCCAAAATTAGGGTTGCCATACATACAGATTTTCCCGGACATGTTGGAATTAGTGTCTCCAGGGGGAATTTCCAGAAATCAGCAAAATGTCCAGGTTTCCCAAAAGAAGCTCACCAACTTTTGGGGAGTGATTTCCCAACTTTCCCAGATTTTTACTTCTCAAAAGATGGCAACTCTACCAAAATGGTCTCTCCCAACTTCTATGATAATCTTCTACATAGAGGGCACCAGTCTGGTGAAGGCTGATGAAGTGCTAGGTGTTTTGGGTTTTTTTGTTTCTCATCCTGCTCTTTATGTCTATCCATTTTTGCCCTTCCATTTGGCTGTCTTATTTATCATGTTTAAAGCTACAAATAATGCAGGAGATCTATCCTCATCTCTTGACATATTTGTTTTGTATTAACAAGCTGCTGTAGGAACTCAATATGCGAGTAAAGCAGCACTGAAGGAGAGCCAGAGGATGGATTGGGGGTTGGGGGAGGAGAGAGGAAAGGTTCATTTAATCCTGCGCTATTTTCCTGACCTACATCAGCCCCTGAAGCTGTTTTTACTTGCTTTCGTGGTGGTGGTGAATACACAGGGGGTACAAATTATAATAATTTCACACTATTTTTCATACAAAATGTATTTCATATTATACTGTTTGGAAACAGCAGCCTAGGGAAGGGAGAACAATTTAGAAGGGACATTTCCCAGAGCTTCCATTCACGTCAACAGATCTCCCACGTAACATGTAGTTTCACCATAAAGACACACTTTGTATGTTATTATAAGGGATTTCCCCCACCAGTTAAAAATGCTGTCTGGTCCTGGCATTCCCAAATCTACCGTTTCAAATCTGTTTCATTTCTTGCCATCGCTTTTCCTTAAGCTAGTCTTATTAGATTGCAAGATGATTCACATTAGCCAGTACTGCACCTAGAATCATAGAATCTCATAGAGTTGGAAGAGACCACAAGGGCCATCGAGTCCAACCCCCTGCCAAGCAGGAAACACCATCAGAGCACTCCTGACATATGGTTGTCAAGCCTCTGCTTAAGACCTCCAAAGAAGGAGACTCCACCACACTCCTTGGCAGCAAATTCCACTGTTGAACAGCTCTTACTGTCAGGAAGTTCTTCCTAATGTTTAGGTGGAATCTTCTTTCTTGTAGTTTGGATCCATTGCTCCGTGTCCGCTTCTCTGGAGCAGCAGAAAACAACCTTTCTCCCTCCTCTATGTGACATCCTTTTATATATTTGAACATGGCTATCATATCACCCCTTAACCTCCTCTTCTCCAGGCTAAGAACCTGCAAGAACTTGGTAATTTAGTGTTGCAGCACCAAGACTTTTGGAAGTGTTGGGGCTGCAACCCATCAATATCCGACAGGTGCCTTCAGCATATTCCTTTTGTTGCCTGCTGAAGACATTCTTATTTAGACAATCCAACCCATACATGTGAGTTTTAAGTCTATTCTATTGCAGTTTTAATTTAATGTTTTAAAATCAGGCTGTAATTTTTTTTTAGTGGTCGTTTATTGTCTTACCTTTTTTGTAAGCCGCTTTGAGGTCTGCCCCCCCCCCCAATCAAGCAGCATATAAATTTTATGGAACAAATAAAACAAACCTTCTAATGAAGAAAGGAATGTGTCTGGGTGCCCTTCTGCCTAGTTTGAAGTTACAAAGAACAGAGCCGTCTCCCTTGTACCCAGCAGCCAGTACAGGAATTAAGACGAGAAGCAACTTGTTAAAAATATCCTTACTTTGCTCCATTCTCAGAGAGGGCAGCTGTCTGTACCACAAGCACCCACTCTGTTTTTAAGGCATCAGTTCCTTGCTTATTCAGACAACAGCTACTCTGTCCTGACTAGGCAAAAAGCAGTTAATTTTAAAAGGAAAAAAAAGGTGTTGCAGCTCCCCATGACATGTTGTTATGGGGGAAAGGGGGACTGCTCCCTGCCCTCTGTTATCTCTGTGATCTAAGAGCAAGGCAAGGTTAAGTCAGTTCTGCAAGACTCTCCTGCTTCAGTCATCCAAGAAATCTGTTTTTATTGCTCAAAAACAGGCAGAAAGGGATTTAACTCCACACTCCCAACGAGGGAGCAATGGTACTTGAATCTGTCCAGATGCAATTGTATAAAAACATCACATGCCCAATTTTGGGATATTCAGCCAGCTGAAACTGGCAACATTTCCATATGTAGTGAAAAGACCAAAGGCAAAAACACAAATTAAAAAACAAAACAACCCACCACCACCCTTGTTCAGTTTTGAGAGCTTAGCATAGAAAGTGGTCCTTTTTGCTTGGCGTTAGCTAATATTCTAGTAAGGCCACAGACACAATGCAAGAACATAGGAGGAAATAATACATCTACAAACACTGGCAGAAGGCTCAGCTTGCCAAATTTGGCCACAGTTCCTTTAGATAAATAACTTCTCAGTGACGTGCTGCGCTGAAATTACATAAACAGCAGAAATTGCTAAGACGTAGGCCCCAGGGTTTTGTGGGTTTCAGGACTTTCTGCAATCAATATTCTGACATCTGCAAACATTTATCTCTAACAGCTGGTGCCAAAAGCAGTAAAACACACACACACCAACAACTTACCATCACTCTTGCAAAGATCTTGATTCGAGTATCGTTCCATTTAAAAGCTGCTTTTCATCTGCAGCTTGGTGCAATTATTTTTTTCTGTAATAGAGACCTTATATGGAAAAGGTTTTGTTGCAAATGTTAAAAAGTGTGGGAACATGTAATTATGTAAAAAAATTAAGCCTGCAGACCCATGCACACTTGCTCGAGAGCAAGTCCCAAAGAACTCAATGAAACTTACTTCCTAGTAGACGTTTATAGGACTCTGCCATTAGTATTCCGTATTAAAACAATTTTAGGGGGGAATCGAGAAATAACACAAAAGTTAAACGGATATATATTTAGTACAAGGTGACAAAAGCTAAACATTCAGAGGCTAACCTCTTGGGGAAGCAGAAAATCCACTACTATGGTATTCAGTTCTGCCAATTAGTGCTTATGATGTAATTATTAGCTTATCTTACATTGCCTTTAATGTAGTGAATGATGTTGCTTTAAAAGAGGATTTGGCAAATTCATGAAACATTAAAGCTATCAATGGCTCATCATGATGGTTGTATACTATCTCCAATATCAGAGGCAAGATGCCTCTGTCAGTTTTGAGACACGTGCTGGCTGAGCCTGTCCTTTTTTTTCTTTTCTTTTTTTGCAACCAAAGAACAAAAATAAGAGACACACACAATCCCGTAACATATTGTTGTGCGATAATAATATCCATTTTTATAGTGTATGAAATATGTTTACTTTTGGTCATTCTAGGAAAATCAAACTGTTTTGACAATCGTACACATTATACAAAGTAATGTAAGCTAATACTCGACAAACTAGGTCTTGCATATGTAGATATTATGGCACACAGTGCAGGGCAACTGGTACCCATCTCAAATGCTAGCAGAGCAGAGAGGAAAGGTAGAAGTTTTCAAAGAGGACAAAAAGAACACAATCCATATTTTCCTTCAACTCCAAAAATTTGGAGTGGGGGGGGGGTCAAAATCTTTATGGCAAGCACTAAGCCTTATTAAGCTGAATGGCCATGTAATTATATGAAAATTGTTCAGTCTTGATAGTGACATGGATAGGGAACAGGAACGGCTGGCAGGGAGGGGCAACACTGCAGATCTGGCCAGCTGGCATCAGTAATGCTGATGTGGGTGAGGCAAGGGAGCAGCAAGCTCAGAGTGGCATGGCTGCACCAGCAGGAGTGGCAGGTTGGCTTCACTGGGGTGCTGGCACTGCCCTGTCCTAACCACCATTCTGCCCGAAATGTTCCAGTAAGCAACAGAAAACATCTGCATGGCCATCACTCCCCACCTGCCAGCTCCTGGAAAGAAGGGAAACGTGGGTCTTTTAAGTTGGCTAAGATTGGGCACACTAGAATAACTATGATCACAGCTGCTTCTCGTTCCACCTAAAATGCATGCATTCAATAGCTGTAGTCCTAAGCCTTCAGAAACTACTGCTGTGGGCTCTCAAAACTTCAGAATTCTCCATTTCTTCCTCCGAAGAGAGAATGTGTTTTGATGACTAGGACAAGTTTTCAAGTATACTTATTGGTCTGCGAGGCTAGAAGTACAGCGGGAATCTTTTCTCTATCAAAGTCTCACATCAGCACCCTTCACATATTAAAGGCACATTTGTACAGGTATTAGGAGCTGATTAAGAAGCGGCGCTCCTAGAAGTCAAGAACAAGGCAGCCCAAAGGAAGCCCATGCAGGTATCGTGCCAAGACCAGACTTGGACCACTGTGGGTTGCAAGCTGCTTCATGGAGGTTCAGTGCACCTGCAGATTGCATCGTCAGCGACACAACAAAATTAAAATAATTTAGAAATGTATGGTGTAATAGCATGGGGAAAAACCTGTCCCAGTCTGCCTTTGATTTGGACTTCAGTATGTTTAATAGTTGACAAGGTTTTTGTTTTATTTTGTTTCCGCAAGTTGGATGTAGCTGTGAAGCAATTTGGAGGAAACAATGTCCCTCTAGGGATTCTGATTTCGTTTAAAGATAAGGAAACTATGGCTTTCAATGCTTCTGGTGGTACAGAGCCGAGCATCTTTTCACTGCTTAATATTTTTGAAGAAAGGATGAAGCAAGGCATCCTTTGCAGTTATTCTTGTAGCAGGATTTAGGTCTAGCAGTTTATCCAGAAGATCATAGGCCTCATCAGGGACTTTGTCCCATCCCAGATCAGCTGGCTTTTCAGAAGTTCTAATAACCAGGCCATCACGTTCATAACTTGGCTTCTGATACTGTAGGTGCTTTTTAGATGTCTGAAGTGCAGGCTCTGAAATGTTGAAGATTTCAGCTTGTAACGCAGGTTCCTGAGAAAGGTTGATCTGCCCATCACCTGTCGAGATGTCAAAGCTGGTTTTGCTCCCCCTCAGCCTTTCACAGAGCATTCGTAAATCCTGCGCTGGGATATCTTTACTACACAGTATTGATTTACCTGTGTGAAAAGCACTGTGGTTAGAATGGATGCTTGACAGCTTTCAGAAGACACATTATAACACTGTAACACAGACAGTGGATGCACACATAGAATACATTAAAGCAGTACTGTCGACCTTTCAAAAAACATAAGCTAGTTTGTCACTTAGCACACTGGTTTGCACTTAACATTAAAGCCATAATTTTAAATAAACTATGGCTTAATGTAAATGTGCAGTGTGCTGGTGAATACTGCTCAAATGTCCCCACTTCGTCCCTACCTGTGCCATGCTTGGAGGAATAAACCTGCATCACTGGCTTGGCATTGCGTGTGTACCAGAGCTCATTGTTTTCCCCAAAACCATGAACAGGAAGCCCATGGGTTCTGCTTGTGGTTTAAAATAAGAGAAAGGAACCAACAAGAGTGGGCTTGCGCACAACATTAAGCCAGCACTGTGAACTGTTTCCTGCAAGCACAGCACAGGACGTAGGAGCCAACTCCTAGGGGCTGTGTGGTCTTTGGCCCCCAAAATAAAATATTTGAGGGGGCTGGGCCCCCACAAAGTTGATGGGCATTCCCATTTAAATGGTGTGTGTGCACTGTGTCATGTGATCGATTATGTAGGGCCCCACAAATTTTTCTTCAAGTTGGCACCCCTGACGCAGGAGTAAAGAGGGAGTTTTGAACTAAACTGGTTTAATGTTATGCGCAAATTGGGTCAACTGGACCTTTCATAGAACCAAAGCTTGCAAAACAGATTTCTCTCTCTCTCTCTCTCACACACACAAACACGCCAAGAGATGAATCTGCCATATTGCTATTTTGTAATGGAATAGTGATGTATGGAAGTGAGAGCTGGACCATAAAGAAGGCTGATTGCCAAAGAATTGATGCTTTTGAATTATGGTGCTGGAGGAGACTCTTGAGAGTCCCATGGACTGCAAGAAGATCAAACCTATCCATTCTTAAGGAAACCAGCCCTGAGTGCTCACTGGAAGGACAGATCCTGAAGCTGAGACTCCAATACTTTGGCCACCTCATGAGAAGAGAAGACTCCCTGGAAAAGACCCTGATGTTGGGAAAGATGGAGGGCACAAGGAGAAGGGGACGACAGAGGACAAGATGGTTGGACAGTGTTCTCGAAGCTACCAGCATGACTTTGACCAAATTGCGGGAGACAGTGGAAGACAGGAGTGCCTGGCGTGCTCTGGTCGATGGGGTCACGAAGAGTCGGACACGATTAAACGACTAAACAACAACAATGGAATACAAAACAGCCAACAGAACTGAGTTAAATCCTGACTAAGTCCCAAAGAACTTTTGATAGGTGTGTTTTGGGGATGTGCGGGCATGCAAAGACCTCATGTTGCACCCCTGGATGAATACGGATAGGAGGGAAACGGGAAGCTGCCTTGAACAGAGTCAGACCATTGTTCCATCCTGCTCAGTACTGTGTACATTGACCGACAGCAGCTCTCCAGTTTTTCCAACAGGGGACATTTGCAGGACTACCCAGGATGCAAAGCAGACGCTCTGCCTCTTAGTCATATACACACATGTGAATCTGTGAAAGAGCAGTTCTGGTGACACTGGCAGTAATTCCCACTGGGGATACATGAAGCACAGGTACATACTAAGACAAGCAGGGCATATGGCTGGAATACTAGGTTATGAGGCCAGTCGTCTGCACACTCTCAGCTATGCTAAGAGGGAGACACCTTTAGAAAATATGCAGCCAACCACTATGTGCTTCGGTTTAGGGGGGGAAGGACAGCAATTTATTTCGAGGGGCACTGCAGCCAATGCTGTGGGACATTCCTCATCAGCTGATGACAGGCAGGAGAAAAGACTTGTGGGAAATAGGCTCAATTCCCTGAGTTTTCCGGATTCGCCAAGCAGCAAGGTACCGACAGAGTCACTGAAAAAACCAATATACCTGCCTACTTCCCCCTCCCCAACTCGGAAAAAAACCAAAGAATGGGACTAAGATACATGTATGCACTCAGGAACAAATAACAATTGAGAGCCCCACATTAACATCAGTGCGTCACAGAGCACCCGAGGGTGGGGTCCATTGGCTCTAGCGTCCCTCTCTTAAATCTACACTTCGGGTAAGGCCAATTGTTCTTTTCCATATATTTAATTTAAAAAATAATAATCAAATGTTAAGTAACTGACAGCAGCAGTTTTAAGGTGTGATTAGCCTGTGTATTACCTGTTGCTACTTTTGTTTGCATGAATGGACCTTTAAACACAATCTGCTAAGTACATACCCACGTATTTGGTTGTTTGAACAGTTTCTGAAATATCAGGAGTAACAGATACCAGAAAAATATTTATATGATGATGCATGAAGGAATAACTTCTGTGAGGAAGTAGTGGTGATGACAATGAAGGCGCTGGCAGCTATTTGCTGGACTGCCTTCAAGTCACCAAGGGATGAGAGGTCAGCCGGTTTTGTCCTAACAAGTGCCAGGACAAGCACACAGGGCTTAGGAAAGGAAGTGGCAGGGGTCCAAGAAGGCAATCAGGCCCATGGGAAATTTGCAGGGGGCAGTCTAGGGCAGGAGGAATGAAAGAGGAAATGGTACAGAGGATGGAAGCAAGAAGGTAACTATATGGGAGATTTTAGGAGAGGAAAATGGGAAGAATTCAGAACAGTGGGCTGGACCAGAAGCTGCTAGAAAGCCGAAATTCATATATTGATGAAAAACAACCAGACACATCTTTGGTAACAATCCTCTATGTCTTTAAAGCTTAATTTCTACTGGGATTATTTAAAACTAACTTGAGGTCAGCCTGATTCTGGTGTTTAGACCAATGAATTCCAATGCCATTCGAAAGTCTCTGGGAATATAAACACAAATTATCTACAGAAAGCGCCTGGCTACCAAACAGTCTGAACGTACACTGAATTACAAAAAAATATAAATACAAAACCTGCACACCAAATGTTTTAGCAGCTTGAATTGTCTCCCTGGATCCACGAATAGTCATAATCTGTGCCAAAGCTGTTAAATCATCACTTGCTTTGTAAAATGGATACCGGCCACTCAGCAGAGAAAGGAATATGATTCCTGCAGACCACATGTCAATTGCTGCAATTAAAAACAAACTTCAGTTACAATTACTTTTACTCCCAGTGTGTTTGAAAGACTGAGTAAAAATCGAAAGCTGATTTTAATTTACATTTGCTCGTGACAATGATAACTGGTATTATAGAAAGTTACTTTCACAGCTAGACTTTCTGCTCAGCATAAAACTGCTGTATTTACAAAATGGGGCTGCTGTTATAAAAGAACAAAGTTAATAGGATTGCCATATTTCAAAAAGTGAAAATCCAGAAACAAGAGTTGTTGAGCTTTTTATCACCAACCCCCCCCCCCCCACCGACGTTTCTGAGCCAATTTAATGGAAAATCAGTAAAAATGACACTGCCAACATGGGCTGCCGTACATCCAGATTTCCCCGGACATTTTGCTGATTTGCGCCTGGACACTGCTTCCAACTACAGTATTCCGGGTATGTCTGGGACATTCCAGACATATGGCAACCCTACAGTTATAGCTGTTTTTTGCTTTTGTTAATCTCAGTAACAACTGCAGGTGCACTGAACAAAACAGACTCAAATAGATCCCTGAACTGAATCAGAAAAGCTTCGAATTGGTCTGAGCCAAATCAGGCTGTTTCATGAGGGACCACATTGGGGTCTCAACCGAATCTTGTGGTTGATGCATACCTCTAAACCAGAGTTTTGCATGTATGGGATGCTTTACTCACTTCAATGGAAAGGACAGTTCTGAACTCTTAAGAGATGCTCCCACATAAATGGGAAAGCACTTGAAAGCAAGAGCACATGGGATCCATTGCAATGGACAAAGTATATGCTCTAATTTGCCATGTCGTGCCATCAAGCTCTATGGGTACTATCCCAAGATAAGTATGTCTATGTCTCACTGACTTCGGTGAAAGAGAGCTAAACGTACATGCTTACCAATGAAATCACGTCAATGGAACTCAAACGTGCTTAATTTTTGCTAGTGCTGTATTGCCATATGGTTACATCTGAAAAGCGAGATGAGCGCCGCATCCCATAGTCGCCTTTGACTGGACTTAACCATCCAGGGGTCCTTTACATTTCACGTCAAGCCAGTGACATGCGAGGAGTGTTGGTGAAACATATATATTTATAAGGATGATCATCATCAAAGAGAAGAGGTGGAATAAACCGGTGTGGCAAAGTGGATAGGGTTGGAATGGCTTAGTTAGGGTTGCCATATTTTGAAAAGTGGAAATCTGGACACAAAGGTTGTTGAGCTTTTCTTGGCAAAGTTGTTGCGATTTTTTTTGTGTGAAATCTATTTTTTAAAAATGAGTTTTTGAGCTATTTTTAATGGAATCTGTCAAAATCTACACCACTGCTAGACTGGGATTTGCTGAATTGCTGCTGGCAGGACTGAACTGGTGAGGGAAAGTCCTGGCTTCCCAAGCAAGGGAAGGTTCTGTTCTGGCTTCCCATGCCTACCCCCAAACCTTCCTAAATCCCTCTTTCTTGGGGCCCATCAGACTGTAGTTGAAGTAGTAAGGGTGCAGAGAAAAACCATTAAAAGCAAAACAAAAACAAACTCCTAGACTTCACAGACCTTGGCTCTTGCCTATTAAACAGGACTAATCTGGAAGGGCAGGATGTTTCTTCCCCTAGCAAGTCACTTGACCATGCCTCCCAGTCGTCATGAGCAGATTTCCATCTGCTTAAAAAGATTAAATATCTAATGTCAGCTTTTTCATGTAATCTTTTTAAAAATCTGCTGCAAGCGTATTATGTTAGTTATGCTTGCTCTAAAAGAATACAAAGATGGATATGATCTCTCACAATCCCTGAAGAATAAGCAGGGGGGAGGGATTAAAAAATTCTTCAGCTGACGCAAAACCCTCAGTGCTGGAATTTTCTGCCCACCTTCCACCATTTAAAAGAGAAATGCTAACTCCCAATATCATAGTAAATATCTATGCTCTTCTTCTTTGGCAATCACTTGTCTTCCATGAATATAGTCTTAACAGTGTGTAAGTGACCGTGGAGGCCAATTCTGGATCCACACTTCCTTCCACAGTGAGGACATAAATTTCCGGGTGAGAGCTGATAACGGCGAAGATTCCTCCTTTTAGCTCATTTCTCCCTTTCGTCCTGAGTCCGTGCTTCTTCGAAGTCCATGACACCTTTAGTAAAAGCTGTTCTCCAACTGGAGCACTTGCAGGCTAGTGTTTCCCGGTTGTCGGTGTTTAAATTATATTTTGGAGGGGTTTGCCTTGAGAGCATCTTTAAACCTCCTTTGTTGTCCACCGGTATTTTGCTTCCCATTCGTAAGTTGGGAATAGAGTAGTTGCTTTGGGAGACAATAATCAGACATCTGGTGTTGAAGAATCATTGATTCGACACTGGTGATCTTTGCTTCTTCCAGTACACGGACATTAATTCACCTGTCTTCCCAAGTGATTTGTATAATTTTTCAGAGACACCGTTGACGGAATCTCTAAGGAGTTGGAGATGGCGTTTATAATTGGTCCATGTTTCACAAGCATACAGTAAAGTTGGTAGTACAATAGCTATCTATGTTAGGTATACACCTAACTTGTTTTTATTTCAGGTAAGAAGCTTGGAATAAAGAAATGTGTTTTATAATAGCTTTTCTTTAGATAACAGTCCAACTATATGAAGTCTGGAAGACCTACAGTGGTATCTAGTGCATGGAAATATACATATAAATATATAAATATACCTGTAGTTTGATTCGGAAACTTGGTTAACACTTCTGGTGCTCTGAATCCTGGTGTACCAGCCCTTGGAGCAACCTGCTGGCGCCTTGGGGATTAAAACATGAAAAGCACATTTAGCAAATAACAGCAGTTTGAGCTTTTAGGGGTCCGACAGTAAATAAACCAACTGCTATGACTTTATGTGGTAACATGAGTAAGCATTTTGTAAAGTAATAGAATGCCACTCTTATTAATTCCTCCTGATGAGATGGCTGCAACACCTTTCAAATTTAGAAGTGGAATCATATTCCTCCAGATACCAGAGACTGAGAACTACATGTGTGCAGGGGATTTGCAGCTAGCTACCACACTGTAGTCATGCTTAGTCCTGCTGGCCACATGACCCAGAAGCTGTACGCCAGCTCCCTTGGCCAATAAAGCGAGATGAGCGCCGCAACCCCAGAGTCGGCCACGACTAGACCTAATGGTCAGGGGTCCCTTTACCTTTACCACACCGTGATCACAAGAAGTCTGCTTATGCATGCAGATCCCATTCAATCTCAGATGGCTAGCAGGGCACAAAACATCAGAAGCACATCTTCAACTGTTGCATGCTGCCAGCAGAGATATTTGACATAGTTATATGACCTAGACCACTGGTCTCCAATTAGCGGAGTACAGAGGACCCCTGTTTTTCAAACAGCCAAGTCATGAACCCCCTACTTTTGAAAATTTTGATATAACTGTGGTAGTTTTTGTTACGTGAACGGTGCCATGGACCCCTTGAGTGGGATATGAAGACCCCCTGGAGTCCACAGGCCACCAACTGGGAACCACTGACCTAGACCCATTTACAAGCCAAGGCATAACAACCGGCCCTCTGAACCTGTGACACTGCATTGTGCTTCCAACTCCAGTGAATGTTCTATAACACTGGACCAACTTTCTGGTGTGAGACACCGTGGAGATTGTGTCACAGAAGAGAGTTGAAACTTAAGAGGGATCAAGTGGTTTTCTGCAGCCTTGCACAGAGAGTGTTGACAGTATTATAAAGAAAACCTTCTGCAGAAAACATTTAAACAAATGCACTAAGTCAGAATTTGTGGGTGCTGAAAATCTAGTTGTGAAAATGAACACCTGCATGAAATAGGCTGCCCAAAATGAGCTTTTGGAATATTTATCTGCTGTTGCATTGCAAAAATCTAATATTATCTTGTGCTTTACTAAACATGGATTAATTGGACAAATGTTTTTTCTTTAATCATTTCTTGCCAGCAATGCGATTGCATCAAAGCTAATTACCTTGAAAGACAAACACTGCAGACTCTATCTTTTGCATAACAGTCACAGGTCACGTTAGTTGGATAACTGCTGGCAGCTTTCTTCACTAAGCCATTAGTCACAGCTGAAGTTGTCTTCTTCTTCGCCAATAATTTTCTAGCTGCAATATCTGTCACCCTAGGCTGCTTTATGAGCTGCAATATAAATTATATTTTTTAATCCAAGACACATTTAAACACAATTTTGACTCTAGCTGCCCTCAAAGACATAAAGTTTCTATTAGGTAGCATTTTTAAAGGCAGGTTGCCAAATTCAGACTAGCGAGCGATAAATCCCAATGGCTATTAAACCTAACAAGGTATTATAAGAATTCTAATTTAGTGGGTTTCAAGGAAAAGGTCTATTGTGTTAATATCTAGAATACGTTAATATTATAAAATTATAGAGATGTAAACTCCAGGCCAGAATCTGAACAAAAGGTTAGTCAATTTTACACTAAAGGGCTTTATACAGGAACCAGGTGATGCTCAACAGAGGCTGCTGCCAAAACCAGAAATCCAATCTCAAGAACCACTGTCCCTCCGCAATGTTCTATATTACCCCGTGCCAGTGGGGTCAGTAAACACATGACTTAGGAATTTACATGTTATAGGGAAAAGTAGGGAGAATTCAACACAAAGCTGCCATTTTGTGGCCATCTGCTGTCAAATCTATTTCAGCACTATATCTGTGGCAAAGTTTTCTTGTTGCTTTCAAAGGGACTTAAGTGTGACCAGCTTTTTCTGTGCTGGGGCATCATGCACCAATAGACAAAGACGAAAGGGGGAACTAATTCTCTCACAATTTACAAGAACTGTCATACCTCTTTGCTTAGAGGCAATTCTTATTCATTAGGTTAGCAGTTATTGAATATTATTCAACAGGAATATTGGTGCTTCTGTATTATCTCCAGTTGTCTACAAAATACCTCTCTCTCCTCACTTTTCAGGCCATCAAAGTGTGTCTAATGGCTAATGTTGATTAATTTAATAATAATAATAATAATAATAATAATAATAATTTTATTATTTATACCCCATCCCTCTGGCTGGGTTTTCCCAGCCACTCTGGGCGGCTCCCAACAGAATATTAAAAACATGATAAAACATCAAACACTAAAAACTTCCCTAAACCAGGCTGCCTTCAGATGTCTTCTAAAAGTCAGATAGTTGGTTTATTTCTTTGACATCTGATGGAAGGGTGTTCCACATGGCAGGCGCCACTACCGAGAAGGCCCTGTTGAGCCATGTGGACAACACGCATGATAATCAAACTGTATGTGGGCTAGTAACTTTTGTATACTCAATTGCAAGACTGTTCTACTGCAGAGTAAAAACATTCCTGACAAAGTTGTCCAATTCAGTTCAGTGAATCTGCGCTACTTTGTATCTGCGTCATGTCTAGTAAAGCCGAACAGAATTATTATTAGACCTTTCGCCTCTGTGTTAAAGGGCACTCACAAAATACCATTTCACATGCCCGATCGTTCTTAGCTAGACGAGTACATTGCTTGAACAACAACAACAAAGCTACAAAGAAGAAAAGGTTCAGATGAGAAGACACACATGCTGCAAGCACACCCACCGGCTTTCAAGCGGTTCGGGTAAAAACCACCACCACAGTAATACAAAATAGGCATTGTGCCAACAAGCGCAGTTCACATTCCACATCTGCCTAGCAAACTTGACCTATGTAGTCTTAAAAAATGATAAACACTGAACGTGCTGCTGAATATGCAGTTGATTTATCTGTGGTTAACCAGCAATGCTTACTTTAACTGTGGAATTGTCTTGAGATGCAGAACTGCGGACATTGAAATTCCTCTCCCCAAAGACAGAGCGTTGAACATGAAGGCTCTCAGGCCCCTCCTGCAGTGTCAAAAAGAAGACGATAAGGATTCCATCTTTAACACACAGCCAATTGTGGCATGGCTTTTAAAAAGCGAGATAGCGCAAAAACAAAAAGCTGCATATAAGCTGTCTCACGGGACTAATTTACTGCAAAGAGAACACAGTCTAGGGTGAATGCTTACTCATCCAGATTCACGCTAGTCCTCCAGCAAGATTCAGCTGGGTAATGCTATGGGTAAGGATACGCTTTCAAAATTCTGATAAATGACTTCAGAATGTCCTGACCATTTGGAGAAAGGAGGCCGAATTTTATGCCGAGAAATATTATTGTTGAGATAATGGAGCTAAGCTATAAATCTAAAAATTTAATCTAACATGGTGACAGAATTAGCCCTCTGCAGGGGAGAAGAAAATTCATTTGGGGAATGAATCAACTTTCTAACTGGCATGTAAATTCTCCTTATATGGAGATGCTCAGTCAGTTAAAAGGGCTTAGCAACACTAAACACACAACGGCCCCGACTTTCTGATTTCCTAACACTGCATTTGTGGTTTTATACATGGATACATTTCGACTCCCCCCACCCCACCTGCTCAATCTACGGAACTAACAGATAAGGGTTGATTCCCCGACCACTGTCGTCAGTTCAGGGACGGAAGAAAGTTACCTAAATCAAAACATTCAGTGTCATTCATAAATATCAGCTTGCACATTAGGGGCTTACAGTGGAATCCTAAACACGTCTACTCAGAAGTGAGTCCTAATGAATTCAATGGCACTCCCAGGTTAGGTGGGGCTAGGATTTCAGCATTAGGAATTTTTTATTATCCTACACATACTTGCTTGGGAGTAAACCACTTTAAACTCAAGAGGACTTACTTATGAGTAAACTTGCTTAGGACTCTACTACAGCAAATCATGGCAATTAAGAGCATTAAAAAGCAGATCTACCCACAACGCTCTCTTAAAAATAATCTTAGTAAGATTATTTCTAACCTTAGACCCTGATTTTGAAAACCATTTAGGATAACTGATCTGAAATAATACATACAAGGCTACAAGGAAATTCTAATAAAATGTAACCTGCTGCTCTAATTTACACTGACTGAACAAGCAGCAAGATAGTTAAACATATCAAAATGCCAGCATATTCAGAGTTAGTTTACTGACTTAAGATGGGACCTGGGGTTGGCATCTCAGCACAGGTGTACTCTTGTCATATCTAATGCAGCTTGTCATGTCTAATACATGCCTATATACAGCCTTCCCACCATTTTTAAATGGCAAGAAGCTACAAGTGATTACAGCTCTCCAATGTGCACATGCAGTTAGAGAGAGAGAGTGAGTGTGTGTCACCTGTTCATAGCATACACACAGTCAAATGTTGTGCACCTGACTGCGGAAAGGTGTTTGTGACAGCAAGAACCAGCCCCAGGATTTTAGTCATTCCTGCAATAGCTTGTCTGAAATACAATCTCTTGGGCAAGGCCCTCACACAAAAGTTGTGCAAAAACCACTGTCGCACAGAAACAAATTCCTATTTTGTAAGTTCTATGGGTTGTTGTTTTTTTTTTTAAAAAAAAATTCTTTACATAATCACAAAGATTTCGAAAAAGGAGACTGAAGTTTCATTTTGGTGCTACATCTCCCCCTTGTGGATGAAGCGGCTCATTAAACGAATTCACGCAACAAAATTAAGGAAGAAGCACAGAACCTTTCTTTTCTGTCCTTGTTTAATCTGTGTTTGGGAAAGGGAACAAGGCCTTTTATTAGCCGTTCTTGCAGCTGGCTGACGAACTAGCTGCCTAGGTGCTCTAGCAGTAACTGAAACCTGGGATCCCAAAGTTATCTGAGGCTTATTCCATGCACAACTTTCCTGCTGGGCTTCCGACTGGATAACTTTGAGAAGTTCTATTTTTGTGTCAGGAGTTCCTTGCGCCAAACCAAAGTCGACCAGGGCATACCTAAAAGACAATTTGAGAACACACATTTTGTAAACGATTTAATACATACCTCAGCTGCAAGAGTGTTGTGTTAGAACCTCATGAGCTTTAGCTGCTATCCTGAAGGAAGTTTGGTTGTGCTATAGCAGCATGTAAAAGGGGTGTGGCCTGCATTCCTGTGTTCCGAGGATTTTAACACGCTTTTTAAAGGGCACATAATTTGGCTCCTTGATTTGAACAAGGGAGCCCTCTCCGTTTTGACAAGGTGCATTATCTAGACTAGAGAAAACTACAGTGGTGCCCCGCAAGACGAATGCCTCGCAAGACGGAAAACCCGCTAGATGAAAGGGTTTTCCGTTTTGGAGGTGCTTCGCAAAACGAATTTCCTATGGGCTTGCTTTGCAAGACGAAAATGTCTTGCGAGTTCCTGCGGGGGTTTTTTCCTCCCCCCCCTTTTCCCAAGCCGCTAAGCCGCTTATCAGCTGATCCGCTAAGCCGCTTAACAGCTGATTGCTAAGCCGCTTATCAGCTGATCCGCTAATCCGCTTAACAGCTGATCCGTTAAGCCCGCTAAGCCGCTAATAGCGCTAATCCGCTAAACGGCTTGCTTCGCAAGACGAAAAAACCGCAAGACGAAGAGACTCGCGGAACGGATTCTTTTCGTCTTGCGAGGCACCACTGTACTAAAGAAAAGAAGGAAGCAGCAAACCCTCAACAGAGGCTATGGTAGCCTCTCTCTCACTGACTAGGGTGGGAAGCATCCCTGCATGGTCTTATATCCTACAGAAGATGTGACAAATATATATTTCAGACCCATTGTGAGAGCCTCCTTTGACAAATACTTATAAAACTTTGGGTTAGTGGGGAGGGGGGTGTTCAGCAGAGAAACAGCAGGATGTATTTAACTCTTTCACTACTTTTCCCGAAAACCACTAGATGTGGCAAATACTGGTCTGGAACCTGGCCTGACAGGCAGCAACGCATCGTCTCTCCCATTGTAAAATATGCTATACTTTTGCCTGCTGCTTAGCAGCAGATCACAGCCCTGTGCTTGTCACTGAACATCTCGTACAGCCTTTACATGGCATACTGCTGGACACTGGGAAATGGCAGTTTGTTACGCTTAAGAAATGTATTCCTACAGAAGATCATAACAGTGTCAAACTTGGGCAGACGTACCGTTTCATTTGCCGGTTGTACAAGAAGTTACTGGGTTTGACATCACGGTGAACAATGCCAAAGTAATGAATACGCTTCAAAGCTTTGAAGAGATTAAACATATAATCTCTTACTTCTTCAAAGGAGAGAGAGTTCAAGATGTCCTGTAAGAATGCCAGAATAAATAATTGTGCAGCAACTTGCAATTAACCGTGTTTAGTTCCTATAACAGAAGGGATTTGTAACTCACCAAAAAGGATTCGTGTTCCAGGTATGGCATAACAATAACCACATGATCGTTTTTTCTAAAACAGTACCTAACTCCCATGACATTATCTTGTCCCCTAAAAGGAAAAAAACACACAAATCCTCTCATTAAGCCCATATATTCAACATTTGCTAGCATTATTCTCTCACTATACTCCAATTCTTAAAACCTTTCATTTAGAAACAGTTATATCTAACGCTTAGTTACTAATCAGTACATAGGGCTATATGTATGCTATGACACAGAACGAGTGCAGAATGCCATATTAGATGGATGTCAGCGTTCACTCCCCTTGAGGTAGGGCATAAATTTAAAATAATGTAATTGTAGCTCTGAAGATGGGCTTGGACAGTTATGTGGGCAATGCCGGCTGATACTTTTTTTCCTGTGTTAGGAGTAGCGTTGGCATACAGTGCCCAATATATCTCCTCGTCATGGCAAGCAGAAATAAAAATGGTGATGCAAATTAAAGTGAATTTCAGCATGAACTGTGTAAACTAAGCGAGTCATGCAATACAAGCATTTTCAAAATTACAGAACCTTGATTTTTGAAGGAGTAGGATTTACGATAGTTTGCATTAGCTGTTTCCCTCCCCTTAAATGGCACACTAAAAAAACGCAACAGCCCTACATCGTAACATATTTCTCTGGAAAACTGATCACTTCATGAGCCACATTTGATGTGTTGTGAGCATGGGCCCACCACATTATTAAAATTTCAGGAATGTTCCTCTACAGGTAGGCTTCCTCAGATCATATAAGGCCATGTGATTGGGCTTCAAAAACCGATTCTCCTGTAAATTTAAGAACTTGGTACATTTCTGAACCTACCCTGCTATTATAAGACACTGAAGTTCAGCAGCAATTCGTACAGGATGACTGGTAGGAATCAAATGCTTCAAAGCCACTTTTTCTTCATGGCCTCCTCGTAGCTGGGCTATGGCCAGGTAAACAGAACTAAACGTACCTGCAAAAAGGCAAAATTTCTTTAGTATACACTGAACTTTCATGAGCTACAAGAAAAAGCAAATTTCTTGTAAAGCAGATCTGCTTCCATGCTGACAGTCCACAGTTTCATAAAACTACAATTGGGGTACATAATCATGAGAGCAGCGGTATTTAGAGACAAGGCTTTGTGAATGTTGAGCTGTTAGGGGAACAAGGAGAAAATAATATAGAGTACTGTTTTAAGTGAACAGTTGCATTTTGAATAAAGGTATTTCAGAAATTCAGAGTGATCATTAAAAAGGAATACCATCTGAAAAGACTGAATAATTTATCTATTGGGTTAAATGTGACAAGAGATTCTCAAGCGGGGCAAAAGCTTTACAAGAATCTTCAAAGGGAGTATCTTGTGGAGAGGTAAAAAAAGGTCTTTTCTTATAAAATAGATAAATAAAGTATAGTATATGCTCAGTCCATTTGACACATTTGTGTAGTCCAAAGCATTTATTATAGCTTACAGGAAACTAGGCTTAGAAACCTGTGCATGACTGGAGATTCTGATAACACAAAGTTCCCAATTGTGGGGAGGTTTCTAAGCACCAGGAAGGTCAGGAGTGGAGAACACCAGGACTATTGTGGATAGGGACAGCACACACACAATTTTCTACACACTTTACACCTTCAAACATTCTTTGAATGCCTGGACAGGGCTAAAGGTACCACTCCAGCAAAAGATGTATGTTGACATTATTTTTTTTTAAAAAAAATCAGTTGTGGATTGAATTGGTAGCACAAAGCAGTTAGGTTGCCGGACAACTGTCCCTCTCCTATATCTAGCACCTGTTGACTAAGTAATTGAGAGCTAGAAGACATACCGTATTTTTTGCACCATAACACTCACTTTTTTCCTCCTAGAAAGTAAGGGGAAATGTCTGTGCGTGTTATGGAGGGAATGCCTACGGGTGGCGGGGGGATCTGCTGCAGTCGTGAGCAGAGGATCCATGGTTCCCCTTCCTTCCCTCCTCCGTGGCTCGCTTTGAAACAGCAAAGCGGGAGAAGAGCCGCTGAGTGGGGAGGAGAGAGGGAAGAGAGCCTGCTTGCTTTAAAGGAGCAAAGCGGGAGAGGAGAGGAGCCGCTTACACGAGTGTAAGCGGCTCCTGTCTGGTTGGCTCCTTTAAAGCAAGCAGGCTCTCTGTCCCTCTCTCCTCCCCACTCAGCTCGCTAAATAGCAGCAAAGTTTTTCAGCTCGCTAAGCCGGGGATGAGCGGGGAGGAGGGAGAAAAGCAGAGCCTGCTTGCTTTAAAGGAGCAAAGTGGGAGAGGAGGTGAGCCTTCTCCCCTTATACCCCTCTTCTTCATTATTAGCAGCATCCTTCTCCACCCACCCCACGCGTGCTTCTTCTCCCCTTAAACCCCTCTTTTGCATTATTAGCAGCATCCTTCTCCACCCACCCGTGTGCTTCTTCTCCCCTTAAACCCCTCTCCTGCATTATTAGCAGCATCCTTCTCCACACACCCCATGCGTGCTCCTTGTCCCTCGAGTGCTTTTCCTTCCCTCCCCACTTAAAACATGGTTACAAAGCACAGATCCACATGGATCCTCAGGATTTTTGCACTGGGTCACCCCAAATTCACCATCAGATCACATAGCATGTCCATGGCTACATCTTGCACCAAAAAAATCACGCACCCACTGTTGCCTGGGGCCGCAGTGGTGCAAAAACGTGGTTACAAAGCATGGATCCACATGGATCCTCAGGATTTTTGCATCGGGCTACTCCAAACTCACTGTCAGATCACATGTCTGTGGCCACAGCATGAACCACAAAAATCATACATCCACTGTTTCGTGTAGAATATTTTTTCCTTGTTTTCCTCCTCTAAAAACTACGTGCGTGTTATGGTCTGGTGCGTGTTATAGAGCGAAAAATACGGTACTTATCAAACAGAGGAACCAAGATGCTCCCACATCCCTCCAGAGTTGTTGGCACTTCCTCTTCCCCATGCTCATCTAAAGCACACCTTTCTCAACCTGTGGGTCTCCAGATGTTGTTGAACTACAACTCCCATCACCCCTAGCTAGCAAGGCCAGAGCTCAGGGATGATGTGAGTTGTAGTCCAACAACATCTGGGAACCCAAAGGGATCTTTTTTAGCAGAAGCAGCAGACGATAAGGGAGGACATCTAAACAGAATACTGGGGAAGGTTCCAAACAAGCAACCTTTCATACATCCTGTTGCTGCTGCTGGATAATGTGAAAAATGATAGCAGGCATGAAGCTGGATACTTTGTAACCATATGCATTTTTCCAGACATTCTTCTCATGGAACAAACATTAGGAAAACCATGTGGTCTGGCCCTCAAAAATGACAGATGAATGGCTAAGCCTGTTTCTGGACCATAGCACCTCCAACTGCAAGTGGGGGCTCACACGGGCTCACATGTGGCTGAATACTCCACAAAGATTCCCTTAATGCTCCTGCACACACAAACTATTCCCTGCATACAGGGAAATTTTCTGTATGAATAAGGATTCAGTCACAAAGGCTCCCAGCTGCAGCCTAAAGTGGACAGACTGGGTGGCATTCAACTACGTTTTATTTGGAGTACATCTACTGAAATTGATGAACATGACCAAGTTGGGTCCCTTAATTTCAAGCCTGAATAAAACGTAGTTGAATACCACCCACAAGGACAGGTTAAGCAACATTTTCTAGGATAAAAAGCAAGAATTATCATGATTATTACCTTCACCAATTTTCCCCTTAATTCTGAACACATTTGCAAGCTGTGGCACTGCTTGATAAAGCTGTTCAATATCTGTACTTGCTCCTGTTGAGAAATTAAAAAAACAAAAAACTTTCTCATTAATATGTTACATATCATTATTGCAAAGTGAACACTTCAATAGTGAAATTAAATATTAGTATAAACTATCTTAGTCCTAAACAACCCAATACTGCATATAACACCAATGTTTCACAACAAATGTAACTGATCTGTAGAAAATGCAACCTGAAGAAAGAGGCAATGCATGTGAATTGTAAACGAGGAAAATCTTTAATAATAAATTAAAGTAAGTAAGTAAGTAAATAAATAAATAAATAAAAAGTCTCCCATGGATTATATGGATACGTTACTTTCTCTTAAAGATAAATAAAACTGTTACAACACTTCCACTACATGCACATTCCATTGGAATATTCATCACAGAACAAGAATGTCAGTGGCTGACATCTGAATATAAGTGGCCAGTTCTATTCTATCAGCATGGCTCAAGGCACATGCTATATACCTCCCGTGATGACGGGAAAGGCAGGAACACGAAACCTTCCTCTGGTATGCGGAACAAACAGTAATAATATTAATGCACAGTGCAATCCTAAACAGATTTACACACAAGCAAGACCAGAGTTCAACAGGGCTAAGTGCCAACAGGTAGGAACCCGGACTGGGCAGCAGCAGCAGCACACTGGCTGGCTGGAAGGTTCAGGGCATGCACATCACTGTTCCAGTCTGTAGTTGCCTGATGCCATAAAATGATAACAATGGGGCCAGCTTGGACCTTCCCCGTGTTGGGTTTACTGCTGCCAATACCTGCTTCCCAATTCAGCAGGTGGGAGTGGGGAACTCCAATGCCACTTCGGTCCAAAATAGCAGGGTGCAATGGCAACAACTGTTTTCAAAGCACTTCTATGAGCTATCAGGTTGGTAGATCAGATTACACTAAACAACATCTCTATCGTCTATGTTACCAGCACACAACAAACTAACCATCAAAGGATGTCAAGGACCAGGCTATGCCAATCACTAAAATTATTTTCTAAAGACAAAAGGTGGGCTTAGAAACAAAGCAGGCAGCAGATTTGCACTATTATCTAGAGCTGTTGAATTCAAAAGCTAATTCAAAAGTCACTGCTTTTCATACTCTTTATCACTAGATGGCATGGCAAGGATGTTATATTGCATTTTCTGCAAAAACCAAGGCAACACAAACAAGATACCCTAATTCTGTTAGACAACTGTTCTGTATTACATGACTGTTCTCTGTAACACAATTAGAGCAGGCTAACGTGTGACCCTTCCTATGCTGTTGGACTACGAAATCCATCATCCCTGTCCATTGGCCATGCTGGCTGAGACTGATGTTGTCCAACAACATTAGAACAGCCTTGCTTGACCAGGCCAGTAGCCCATAAAGTCCAGCATCCTGTACTCACAGTAGCCAACCAAGTGCCGTGGGAAGCCTGCAAACAGGACCCTGAGCACAACAGCACTCTCGCCTCCTGCTGTTTCCAGCAACTGGTATTCAGAAGCATACTGGCTCCGAACAGGAAGGCAGAGTGGGGCCATCAACAGCCTTATACTCCATAAATTTGTCTTAAAAGCCATCCATAAAAGCCTCCTTGGAAATCCTCCTTAAAAGCCATCCAAGTTGGTGGCCATCAATGCCTCTTGTGGGACCAACTTCCATACTTTTTAACTATACGCTGCACTTGCTTTCCTCGTTCTGAACCTTCCTCGTTCTGAACCTCCTTCTGAACCGATTCACTGGATGTCCATGAGTTCAAGTGTTACGAGGGAAAAAAATATAATGTTATATATTTCTATCATGTCACCTCTTACTTGACTTTTCGCTCAAGTAAGAAGCCCCAAATGCGGTCATCTTTCCTCATAGGGCAGTTGCTCCAGCCTCTTGATCATTTTAATTAATTCGCTACTCTTGGAGGGCCACAGATTAGCCACCCCTGGATTTGACATTACTCTTTCTAAAGTTTAGAAAAATGCTGTAACCCTGTTATCTTACTTTCATACTGTTATTTTACAAAGGGCTGTTCGTGTCATACCAATAGAGTTAAATGAAAAAAAATCTGAAATACAAATATACATATACTCTCTCTCTCTCTCTCTCTATATATGTATAATTATTGTTATTATTAACGACACGGGTGGTGCTGTGGTCTAAACCACTGAGCCTCTTGGGCTTCCCGATGAGAAGGTCAGCAGTTTGAATCCATACAACGGGGTGAGCTCCCATTGCTCTGTCCCAACTCCTGCCAACCTAGCAGTTTGAAAGCACACCAGTGCAAGTAGATATACAGTGGTACCTCGGGTTACATACGCTTCAGGTTACAGACTCCGCTAACCCAGAAATAGTGCTTCAGATTAAGAACTTTGCTTCAGGATGAGAACAGAAATCATGCAGCGGCAGCAGGAGGCCCCCATTAGCGAAAGTGGTCTTCATGTTAAGAACAGTTTCAGGTTAAGTATGGACCTCCGGAATGAATTAAGTACTTAAGCTGAGGTACCACTGTACAGGTACCGCTGCAGTGGGAAGACAAAAGGTGTTTCCATGAACTCTGGCAGTTGTCACAGTGTTCTGTTGTGCCAGAAGCAGTTTAGTCATGCTGGCCACATGACCCAGAAAGCTGTCTGCGAACAAATGCCTGCTCCCTCAGCCTGAAAAGTGAGATGAGTGCCGCACCCGATAGTCGCCTTTGGCTGGACTTAACCATTCAGGGGTCCTTTACCATACCTTTTTACCTTTACCTATAATTTTGGTAAAATATGCTTTCATCTGTGAACCATGTGAGTGTCACTGAATTATACTTAACCAGCTGAAAGCTACTGAAAGTTGTTTATAAATGCAGTGTTCCTGTTCTGACGCTTAGCATGCTGTAATGCACTGCTCTTTTCCACAACAAATCTATTTTTGATAAGCCAGGCTAATGCCGACCCGCTTCAAAAGATACCACACACATTACATCTTCAGCTGCAGGACAATGTACACACTTTTCGCATCTGCTCCCCCTTAAAGGACAGCTTACTCAGTTGCCTGGCACTAGAGCTACTGGGCAGTCTCTCATGCTGTTATGAAGTTCACTTTTTATCCTCTGTTGGGCTGCTGCAAGCCATGTCCACAATTACTCCTCACGCCCCACAAAATTGTGAGTTAAAGCTAGGGGCCAGGATCCAAAGAACCATAAACCTACATCTGTTACGTGAGCCCAAAGGGGTTTTAGACTTGCATTTCTCTACCAACATCCCTCTATTCTCTTGCTTTAAAGCAAATTGCTTTCAAAACTGAGGGGCATTTCAGAAAGAGGTTTGTGTTATAGGGATCAGTTGTTCACCATCAAAAAACCAGGCAGGTGAGTGTAAGCCCCTTGCATGATCCCAAGCAGTTTCTTGGATCCGAGCCATAAAAACCTAACAAAACTCTCTCTCTTTAACCTCCACACAGCTTTCGTCTAGCTTGAATGAGATCAATTATTTAAGAAAAACAAGTTTGGCTGGAATTCAAAACAAGAATAAACCTGTACATATGAACCAACCAAGTACATGAAACGTCCAACTTCTTTCTGCTACAAGTTCCTCTGCAATAGCATTCACCAGATCACTTCTTGGCTCTGATAAAGTTAACATCCATTTATCATCTTAAGAGAACCTAGCAATCATTGCACAAACTAGGATGCAAATGTGCAACAATATGAAGACAGGAACAGGGAACGGACGGGGGAATTAAGTGATAATATTGCAGAGGACATTAAGATGTGTGACAATGTATACCTGACAGTTTCTTGCTGTGGTCGTATTTCATACGAGAGTCTTCACAATGCAAGGGAGGGTGTTCATCTGCATCCATCACAAAACTACCTGCAAGCAAATAGGGAAGCAATGATAACAAAGTTCAGAATAAGCAAGCTAGGCTTCTGAGGACTAAACAGGTTCAAACAAGTCTGGTCCCTTCCAGCTATATAAAGAACAGTGGTGCTGTATGAGAATGAACATTGGATAGTCTGTACTGTACAGTCTGATCCTATGCATCTGAAGTCCCTGTGAGGACAGCAAGATTTACTATAAAGCGTGCATAAGACTGACAGTCCTTAATGAATATGGAAATATATTTGCTTTTCTATTCAACAGTAATTAAAGAGATATTAGGAATCAAACTTTTAACCAATTATCAGAAAGTATTGGTCAAACGTTGATTTTTCATAAGGATAACAAGCAATACACACCAAATTTTGAAGAGCTTCCCCACCCTACTAGCTAAATACAGTTTTAAAATCACATTAGGAGACATTAATGGAAAATATGCAAGTAATAAAAATTCACAAAATGGTCAGATTCTAAGCTATGACGTGCATTAACAGCTGTATGTACACAAGAATTCTTCCAAGGGTAGAATTTATTTCCCACATTTTAACTTCCTTCAAAATGTCAAGTAGATGTCACCCTCCATGTCTGAGTAGTGTTTGCAATTATCCATTTCATTTAACACCTCCAATTAGGGCGGAATTGAGAAGCTGATCCTGAAAATACGTGCTATTTTTATTTAAGTATGCACATGCACAAAAAGCTCAAAATTGCACATTAGGAAATATTGTTAACAGAAAGCTGCCAATTACTCAAAATCCCCACAGATAACCACAAATCTCTTTTAACTACATACCCTCACATCGGGGTGTTCAGACCATGTACCTTTCACGGGATGTTCTCGTGTCTTGATAACCTAGAACACATTAAATGGTATTAAAGACAGTGATGTGCAGGATTGAGAAGATTAAAAGGCCACGTGGCAACCATTTTCAAAATATCTGAAGGGTTGTCATGCAGGTCAGCAAGGCAGTAGCTTCAGACAATTCACTGGAATCTATCTATTGGGAATGGCATAGTTGCATCCTGCTCTGCGGATTCTGCATTGCACTGGACTAGATGATGCCAAACATCTCTTCCATCTCTTAAGATCCTATGTTTGAAAACAGCAGGCTATCCTGTTCATTATCTAATCACTTACAGCGGTTACAGTGCTACCTCTGTTTACAGACACTTCAGGTTACAAGACTCTGCTAACCCAGAAATAGTACCTCGGGTTAAGAACTTTGCTTCAGGATGAGAACAGAAATCGCCCCGCGGCGGCAGGCCCCATTAGCTAAAGTGGTGCTTCAGGTTAAGAACAGTTTCAGGTTAAGAACGGACCTCCAGAACGAATTAAGTGCTTAACCCGAGGTACCACTGTAATTCCATATGCTTCAAAGGAAGAATTTTACTAGCATAGGACACTGCTATAGCACTCCATTCCTATATTGATGAATAACTGGATTTGTTTTTAACAATAGTATTAAAACATTATTGTTTGTGGATAATGAATGTCTCAGGAAGCATATGATGAAACAAATTCCTTTACCTTTCATTCTACATACAGCTCAGACCCCATCACCTGGGAAGCATCACTACCCAACAGCCATTGGGAAGACTTTATGCAATCACTTGATGGGCTCAGTTGATATACTAGTAGTCAAGCGATTACATCACAAAGGACATTATCTTAACTGTTAATAAAAGACACACTGAGTTGAATCCAGCTGTCAAGAGTAGGACTCAGTTTGACATTTCATTTAATCAGTGGACTTCTTGTTAGTCCCATTGATTTCAATTAGTGTACTCAAGAGTATGACTTCAACCCTTGATATCTGAAGATTGCATTTTTATATACAATGGGTCTATCTTTTTTTAAAAATGACTTTTAGATACTGATGGACTTTACTCTGAAGATTTAAAATTCTAGTGAGTGATTAAGTTCTCAGCTTGGTAAAGTTCTTCTATTTTGAAGAAATTTTTCAGGAGAGAGATTAACATAAAATTTTACTTGTTACTAAGGTATTTTTTTTTTTAGTTTGCTGTTATATTATTATTATTTCTGGGGGAACTGAACCAGAGTAATTCAAAAACAAATTCTGTTCAGTTACTGGAAATTAGGGAACAGGCTTCTATAAAATAGTTGGTAAGATTTCTCTTATACTCGGACTTACCTATGTATTCATCTTTGGATATGTACCATAACTACATCTACTTTTTATAAATTTTTGGGGGGAGGAAACCTATAGCAGACGGGAGGCATTTCCATTAGTTAAAAACCATAATAAAAGTGATAGAATGCGCTTAGCCGCATAGCTTTGCTGATCCTGCAGCTTTTAGAATTCTATTACAGAAATCAATATAGTTATCAAACATAAAAAAATTCTCCAACTAGTCAATGGGTCTTGAATCCTCGTCTCTGGAGGGCTGTGTGTGCATTTTGCTGGCCTTCTGTCCAGGGAACCATAAGGGTGCTGCAGTTTGAACTTTTCATCTCTTATTTTTTGTACTGCACTCCACAACAGTGCCTGTGCACAGTCTGTAGCTTAAGGGGGCTTACAGCCCTTTGCATGAAGTATAACTGGTAGCACCACTGGGACAGTTACTGCCTGTGTCAGAGAAGCAGATGGAAGAATAAGCGGGAATGTGTGGTGCCATCGTATGCATTGTGATGCAGGGAGATGTCCTGGGGCAATCGTCCCATCAATTCATGGATTTCTTTTGTGTGTTTGTGTCAACAGCACAGACTTTGACTAATTGGCACTGAAGATGCTTCCACAGATGTTAAGGGCATGGTTGCTCTTTTGGGATATGGTGGTCACTGACTCCTGTTTTAGAGGACTTTCCCTCCCTTTCACAACTGGCCCATAGAATCTCTCAGTAACACTCACCTGCAGGCATAGGGATATGGGTTCCCATGGCCAAGGGGGAAATTGGTCAAAAGAACCTCACCACTTCTATCACCCCTTTTGGCAGGAAGGTAATTGTAAGCTTAACTAAAAGGATTCAAAGCATCAAAGTAATGCAGAACAAAACAGAGTTTAGGAACCAAAAGCAAAGCTTACAACGATAATTAAGTATTTCAGAGAATGACCTGAATAAATGTCATTTATATCCTGAAATTCTGATAAGCCATCATTCCATTAAATTTTTTTCAAGAAATCAATAAACAAAAAGACTGCATATAAGGAGTCTTTTATTAAGCTCTCTTTATTTCAGCCCACTACAAGCTTGAACAATTATTGACCATTTTTAACAGATTTAGGAATCCAGCATTCAGCTAATTGATTGCAAGAATATTGAACAAAATATGTAGTAAGAGCTATCTAGACTGCTTTTGAAAAGAATGTGAAATAGCTGTCAAAGTATAAAACAATATCAAATTCAAATTATACCATTTTTTCCTTTTATCAATATTAGATTAGAGATCAAGGGCAAATTTTAATACCCTTTGAACAATACAGTAACTGCAATTAAGTTTTTGTATTTTCTCATTTCTTCTTGGTGGACAAATATACCCATCTATTATAGCTCAAAATGTGGAAATCATAGTTCCATGATCATTGTTTGAGCTCTATCAAATCATTGGTCTGGAGAGAAGAACAACATCTGGGGCTTGTCAGAGCAGGTTAACTTTACAAGGTAGCTCCTTGTAGCAAGACTCCTGGTCAAATACAAACCTTCCACTGCATTTAAACTGAAGGTTGCAAGCATAAATATTAAAATAACCAAGCACAAGCTACCTTAAACTTTGTCGTTTAGTTTGTACATGATGTGAAACTATTTCTAAAAGCACTGAATGGAATGCCACCCATCATATGGAATGCCCAATACTTTGTGTACAATTTTTAAAGTCATTTCAAATTTACATATTGATCTTAAACATAGCTTTAGGTTATTTGTTAGCCTTTTGCCGTGAAACCCATACAGTATGGCATAGTAATTTCTTAATTGTACCACATGCTGATCTGGTACACAAAGCAAAGATGGGCTTTGGTCAAAGCAAGATATTTGCTATGACGATTTTTGTAAAAAGAATATTTCTAGTTGAAGATTTGACAGTGTCTACAATTATTCTAAGAACACCCCCCATACACTGATACAAAAAGCAAACAATTGTATTGCTTCCACACTCAAAAAAAAGAAAGTTTTATGACAAAAGTAATCACTAACTGAAATCTGTGCACAGTAAAGGCTCTCAGAATTAATCCATTATATCATACAGTTTTATTTATTCATATTTACTTATATCTAATATTTCAGTCTCAGGCTTACTCAGAGATCCCACTGAGTTCAAAGGGATTTCCTGGTAAATATGAGACGTAAAAGGTAGAATTTTTGGCCCTTAAGGAAAATGGGCAGTATTTTTATTAGAACAACCAAAAAGGCAAAAATTGTGTGCACGTTTCAAATGGTAAATACTGTATGCTTTGGTTTGCAGTCTAAATCCTACTTTAACCAACAAAGCTTAGTCCCAAAGGTGGGAGGGAAGGGAGTCAATGGCATACTTTTCAAAATGTATAATGCACATCTTGAAAATAAATTACCCTCTAGTTATAAGCTTTTACTAACTGTGCCAAACTATGTTCTTAATTCACTTACTTTGGAAAAGTTTCACTGAAGTAAATGGAGCTGTTCTATACTTACTAGTTCAAAGTACATAGATACAGATGGGTAATTTACTCCAGATTTATTATCTATTACTTTTGCAAATGTATTAACAATGGACATGGCATTTTATAAAGAAAAAAATGATAAAATTTCTGCTGTGAGCTACTTGCATTCTGACCCCCCCGGGGGGGGCATTTTCTGTGAAGATAGGTGGCAGGGATAAAAATGGGAATAAAATGCATTTAACACTTACATGTACTTAGGCTTAAGTATAGTAGAGTATAGGATTGTGAGTTATGCAAAAGGCTTCATGGAAAAGAGCTTTGAAGAAAGTACCGTAAGGGTGGTAGTATCACAGAGATGTTCTAGCCTGCAATTTCACACATAAGCAGCAGCCAGGAATAAAAGACAGAATTGTTTGAGGAAGCAAGACACCTTTAGATGACTGGTGGAGCGGAGACCTTCAGAATCCAGTTGTTAGAACCAGAATCCTGGAGCTGCTGAAGTCAATGGCACAATTAAAAACTAAGAGGCTTTTTTTAATAACTAAGAACTAGTGTTCCACCTTTTTGCCTGCTCCCTCATCATTACAAAGAATGCCTATACCCAGAATTACTGGATACTTAAATTAATTCAGTATTTATTTAGCTGTATAGTCTTGCTTCTTTTTTCCTTAACACAAGTCTCTTAGCAATTAGGTAAAGGTAAAGGTACCCCTGCCCGTTCGGGCCAGTCTTGCCAGACTCTAGGGTTGTGCGCTCATCTCACTCTATAGGCCGGGAGCCAGCGTTTTACCCACAGCGCCACCCGCGTCCCTTAGCAATTAGAGTACTTTAAACAAAAATAAAGTAAGAAAAGATGCAGGAATTATGAGAGTAATGAATGGAGCTTTTAGGCAGGCTAGCGCTCCAGTCTTTCATTTCAGAAACTAAAGCTACAATCTTATGCCCACTTACCTGGAAGTAACCACCATTAAACTCAGTGGGACTTATTTCTGAATGGACACATAAATAACTGCACTGTAAGCTATGCATACTCCCCCCCTGGGGGGGCACAGAGTGGGGAAGACACAAAGATCCAATGAAAGGTAGGATCTTAAAGCAGTATGAGCCTTCTTTTTTTGAACTGGCAATCAAGACCTGGGTGGATTGAATAATACCCTGACAGGGTACCTCCACTGATCCACACTGTATTTAAGGGAGTAATAATATTCACACTACCTCATCATTCCATGAGGTGGGTTTTATTTTTTGAAGATGGGAGGATGTGAGCTGTCTTGTTCTGCTGTACTTTTAATGTCAATTCATTCTTACTTTGACAAAATGTTAATTTAAATGCTTGATTGCAATAAAAATATTTTAAATGGTTTACAAAAGGAATGAAAGATTTAAATTATCAATGAAACAATTAAAAACAGGTATTGGAAACTTTCAGAATACAATTAAAATCAACAGCAAGGTAAAAATAGGTTAAAACATATGTGAATGTGTATTAGAGTAGAACTTCACAAGCAACAACAGGGCACATGGAGGTATTAGACTGCCAGAACTTATTATCAGCATTTATAAGGGGTGGAGAGTAAGAAGAGGACAACCTGTGGAGAGTTGTTAGGAAAGGGCTCAACTTTAGCAAAACACTGAATTGAGAACCTGGAGTAACCACACAATGAGGTCAGAGCAGAAAGAACCTCAAAATCAACACCTCTTCCATTTTAAGAAGCAGATTTCAGAATGGTAGCTGAAATTTACAGCACAGTTCTAGTTATGTTTACTGGGAAGTAGGTTTCAGTATGTTGAAGCTTACTCAATAACCATAGTCGTACCCTGGAAGTTGAACGGAATCCGTTCTAGAAGTCCATTCGACTTCCAAAACGTTCAAAAACCAAGCTCCTGCAGCCAATCAGAAGCCCCGTCAGACGTTCGGCCTCCAAAAATAATTCGCAAACCGGATCAGTCACTTCCAGGTTTGTGATGTTCAGGAACCAAAATGTTTGGGAACCAAGCTGTTAGACTTCCAAGGTACGACTGTACTTAGGGGTGGAAAAGCATTCCCAGCCAGAAAGCAGGGCCAGAAAGGGATATGGCATGGGGAAGAATCCAGGATTTCCATAGTTGGCCGTCAGGCCTTTACTCGGAAGAAAGTCCATATGCCTTCAGCGGGATTTCCTCCCAGGTATGGGCACAGAGGATTGCAGCCATGCAGTGCAACACCGTGAATGTTTACTCAGAAGCAGGGCCTGCTGTATTCAGTAGAACTTATTCTCAGACATGTGTTATAGGATTGCATCGTTATTTGATTATATGTCACCTTAAAAGCTAAAATCATGTATACTTGTGTCAAAACCCCCCAGGAGGATTTTTTTTGGGGGGAAGGGTGTCGTATTTAGGAGCACAAATGCCTAAGGTTGGGCTACAGCACTTTCGGGTGTCCCACAGCGTTCAAATATTGCACGCTAATTCTTCTAACTTAGATTAGCAGTAGGAAGCAGAACACCTCAGGAGAGGCCAAGCAAATCGAAGGAAGGGAGATGGGTTGAGTGCAGGTCCAGTGATATCACTGGGCCAACTAGGCAGCCAACCAAAGAACGGACATTTGAATGGCACAGCATTCTAAAAATTAGTTCTTGTTATATCTTACAAATTTCCAACAATATTTTACTTTTATTCTACACCTTCAACGCAGCTTCTCAAAGCCCAAACTTACATACACTCAGCCACGCTGCAAAAGAGACCAGCTGGCCTGGCAGCAAATGCCAACTGAACCTGCGCCAGTCCTGAAAAAACTGGTGGCCAAACCTGCAAAACGAGATTTTGACGTGCTTTTAAAGAGACTCGAAAGCACCGCCATTGGCAGGAATATTCAAAACGACTTGGGCACAGAAACATTTTCATTTTATTTATTATTATTATTAATTTATTTTATTTCTATACTGCCCTATACCCAAGGTATTTAAGGAAGCTAATCGGAAATGGCTGTATTACTTATTCTCGCAATCTGGAATAAGTTTTTGCGTTTCCTTACAAGTTTTTGAAAATTGAAGTTACGAAAATAAAAAAAAAAACTGGGGGAGCAAGTAGTTAGCCTTGCCTAGGGCGCAAAAGAGCCATTGCACCGTGAAATCCAAAGTGAAAACCTGGACAGAAAAGTTGTAGAGCTTTCGGGGAGAGTAGTCATTGTTTTTGAGCTACGTATTTTTGAGAATGGGCAAAAACGACAAGGGCTGCCACACGTCCGGTGTTTTCCGGGCACATAGGCGATTCCCGCCGGGACATTGCCGGCGGCCGCGGTGTTCCTTATGTGTCCGGGAAATTCCGGAAGTATGGCAAACCCACTCCCCCCCAAAAAATCCCTCGCTACGATACTGATTAGGGGCTCAAGGAACGACCCGTGTGGGGAACTCTCCCTTCTCCCTTCCCAACGATTTCAGGCAAGAGCCACCCAAAGCGCTGGGCGGGAAACCCACCCTCTCAGCCTTCCCGCCTGAAGATGCGGAAAGACGGTGTCCGTTCGGAGGCTTATCCGGGGCTACCTCAGAGACGGGCCGGCCTCTCGCTCTCCCTACCGGGAAACTTCTCCTCCCTCACGCACGCACGCCGAAGTCCGAACTCTCCCTCCGCGAAGAGCTTGACGGTGCCGCCTTCGGCAGCCTGCTCTTGGGCGGCCAATCCCCAGCACCCGTGCTAAGCGGTAGGATCAACCAATCCAGCCGCCGCCTTGAAAAACGCGGAGGGGGATTGGCTAGGCGAAGTTGCTGACGCGTCCAGCACACGCGCCGCCCTTCTCGGTGCTGGGGAGGAAGGCGAAGAACGGCACCGAGCTTCCGAGCATGCTCGCTGGCAGCGGCTGAAGCTGCGCTGCCCTTAAGTTGCCCTCACTTGCCCTACACAATACCTGCTTCATGGCCTAAGCAGTCAAAAGTGGGTTTTTTTGGCGCATCATATTTGGGGGAATGGCCTGGGTTTTGTGATCCTACCAAGGGAGGGAGGTCGAGAAGGCCCAGGACATCATACTCAGACTGACACACGCAGAGAAAAGGAAAATAATCAGGGCACCTCATTTGGAATCCTATGGAAAGTTAGAGGAGGTTATTATTATCTACACAGATGGTAATCGCTGAAAATGCAGCTGCTGCGATTGATAGACCAACCAAAATGTAATTGGATGTCAATTTTTAAAAAAATACAAAAACCACAACAATATAAGAACTGGACAAAACACATTGATCAAGGAGCTCAGGAAACCACTTTGGTTAAATTCTGCAAAATTTGAATCAATTGGAATCATTTTGATACTCATTGGAATCCATATAATTGGCAAAACTGTGTAAATATTGGAAAATTAATTTTAAAAATATTTTTAAAAGAAAGAAAGAAATCTATCACATCTCCAAATAGCTATTCCCCAGAAACTCCCATTTTGTTATTCTGAACCTTTCCCCATTTCAGAACAGTTGATCTTCAACGGGTTTGCACTGTCTTTCAAAGTGGGGAGGGCGGAGGGGAGCTGTTTCTAGTTTAAATGGCTACAGATCCGGAGGAAGATTTTGTATTTATCAGAACATGGGGCAATTGCCTTAGATTTCTGAAAACATTTGGTCCCCCCTCCAACATTTCCATAGTGGGGAGGGAAAACTCGACTTCAGCACCACAGGATCTGTCAGAAAGAGGCTATCTAATTTCTAGAAATGGATAAAACTTCAACCTGAAAAATGCCAAACATTAAAGGAAGCAATATACTATTCTTGATGTTAATCTCTGCTCCTCTGCCTCATCACTTCTAGCAACTGCTTTTTTGCCTGTTATTTATTTTGTTAATTTATGAATCACTGTCCATGTGAGTCTTAAGCCAATTTAAACACATGCCATTAAAAAAAACACAACTAAAATATTTTTAAAAACAATGGCACTGAGCAGGTTCATTCTGTCCGGTTTGTACTAATTGATACCATTCATGTGTAAGAATTTGTGTTTTCTGGATTCATAGAGGCTGCTTTCTACAGAATTGGAGCAGTAGTCCATCAGGCTCAGTAAATAGGTAAAGTAAAATGACCCCTGGTAAGTCCAGTCAAAGGCGACTGTGGGGTGCGGTGTGTTAGAATTTGTGATCTTTCATTGCAGTCATGGGATTTTTGTCTATCACATGACGGTATATGTTTTGACTCCACAGAGTGGGAAGTGACGAAGACAGGATGTTTGTGTTCCGTGAAGTGGGACTATTGCCCTTTGTTCTTTTTCTCTTTGCTGTCAGAGTATCAGAGAGAGGGAGCCATGTTGCAGTGCTCCGTGTGTATTTATATGTAAATAAAGTAGATTAGCCAAAATGCTGAGTTGCTGAGGTCTGTCACACGCAAGTTGCGCAAACTCTGCAGATCCCTAAGTGTGCTGGTGTCGGTTGGCATCGGTCGCTGTGATGTTCGGGCTGAAGAAAGCTTATGAAGCTTCCAAACGATAGACCCAGGAGGGAGGGAACATGCCAGTCGGGCATGTGTCTCTGCCAGGGTCCTACTCGAGTGTAGGCTGAACTCCTGATGGGCTGCTCATCCCGCTTCAGGCTGAGGGAGCCGGCATTTGTCCACAGACAGCTTTCCGGGTCATGTGGCCAGCATGACTGAACCGCTTCTGGCGCAACAACACCGTGACGAGTGCCAGAGTGCGCGGGAACAACGTTTACCTTCCCGCCACAGCGGTACCTATTTATCTACTTGCAATGTTGTGCTTTCGTACTGCTAGGTTGGCAGAAACTGCGACAGAACAACAGGAGCTCACCACCATCGCATGGATTCGAACTGCCGACATTCCGATTGGCAAGCCCAAGAGGCTCAGTGGTTTAGACCACAGTGCCACGTGTGTCCCTATCTGGTTCAGTATTGTCTACACTGGTGGATGGTGACTCTGCTCACTTTCGGAGAGGTGTTTTCCCCCATATTTTTCCCCCCATGTTTTAATTTTTAATTCAGAATGCTGTAGGAATGCATCACATATTTAAAAACCCCGCTTGGCCTTAGAGTTCATCTGCTTGGCCTTTTTAAAAAAATACTTTCCTCTCACACCTGCAGAATTCCAAGAGTACTTGCTTGTTTTTCTCTTTTTCCTATTCATTCTAATACTCTTTCCAGTGCATAACTTCGGTTTCTGTTTATTTTCATGGATTAGCATCTGGTCCTTTGTCTTCTACTATCAAATAAGGTTTTGAATCTGTTCATATTATCCATGTTAATTCATGCATTGGACTCTGTGACTATTCACACAAATATGGCAAAGCAGGATTTGGCCTCTCAGTCACACTTTTGCAACAGAAGATAAGATGAGATGTTAGAAAATCTCAACTTATGACCTTAATATTTATGATAGTGTCAGGACTGCACAGTAAAACTTTATATTATTTAATTTTCAACTCTGACACTAAAGCATCATTTCATTTATATGCAAATAAGAAGAGACTCTGCTTTTTCTTCACGGTAGAAGCTGTTTGAATTATTCACATCTTATTAATAAAGCTTCATAAATGCATATTTTTTCACTCAATTGGTAACGGCCAAGGGAGAGAATCTATATATCAAGCCTTTGTTATTATGAGAGCTGTAACAAAATACAAAGATTTAAGGAGTACATAATTGTAGGTTATAGAGTTATAATGGAAACAATGCATTATATAGATGAATTTTTTACCCCTTTCATTATCTTGTTGCCATTCTCCTTAGTCCTTGGCAGAGATATCTTTTGGAAGGTAGATTAGAAAGAATTAATGTTCCATATATTTAGTGACTGAAACCATGCCATTTAAGGAGAATATTTAACACTGTTATATCATTTTATTTCTTTCTCTATGAACCTGATAATGTATATTGGCATTTCCAAATCTAGTATCGACAGTCGTTGGGCACATGTATGCAGCATTATCATTTTTCTCCGCTGACAAATGAGTCTGACCCTTTATTGATGTGGAGCGGGTGAGACAAAAGTGGAGCTGGGGAAATTTTTGTTTTGTTTTGTTTCCCTGAGGGGATACTTTATTGTAAGGTGCATAGGTTGAAAATGAGGAGTTTGAAGCTTCCTCTCAATGAAACAGGAATGACCACTAGGCCGCTGTGGTGTTTCACAAAATGATAAGCCAGACTTTCTGGGTTATCATGGTTCTTCCAATAAGCTGAGGGGTAGGTTATGCGGCAAGACAGTTATAGACCCAAGGTCACACGGTGAGCTTCACAGCGGAGTGGAAATTTGTACCTTGGACTCCCAGATCCTAATCCAACACCCTAGCCCCATAGTGGCAGTTTCCCATCTCCCCTCACCCCGACTGCAGACCACTTGAAAACCACTGATGGTCTTGACAGCTTACTCAGTGATTATCTTTTTCTGCCCATTGTCACAATCGTGATGCTCTGAGCTAGACACCGTCTGTTTTTCTAACGGCATTTTTAGTGCATGTTTTCGTACGTTGCATTTTGTTGTGTTACGATTTGCACGGCAAATAATTCAAACAGTGAGGCGAAGGCATGCGGCGTAAGAAGTGAAGTAAGCGATTCAGGATCTATATGGATATTGAATGCGGACCACCTGAATGAAGCTTGCGGACCACTGGTGGTCCGTGGACCACACTTTCAGAACCTCTGTGCTTGAGCACTCTGCTTCTCCACACTGCAATGCCTTTCTTTTAGATGTTGTGTAAATCTGCCAAGTGTGGCTCCCTCCTTGCCTTCATAGCGCTGTCGCCTCCGTTGACGCCAGCTCTTTTTCTTCTTTAACACCAAAGGAACTGGCAGCAGAGTCAGGCCCTTTGTGCACTGAATAGACAGCCGTGGCAGGAGGCAACAAAGGCACTGCACCGGTATAGTTGCTCACTTTATCTGCCATTCTTTCAGCTCTAAAGAGCTACCAGCAAAGAACAAACCCCGACGATTCGTAAGAAAAACTACTTCATACTCCCGACACGGAAGAACAAAGAAACGTATGCTGAGAAAACAGCGCTTCTCCCCCGCCTCTCTTCAGTTTCTACGGCCCAAGAAAGGTGTGTGTGTGTAAATCCCGGCGGGCAGAGCAACCCATTCTGGTGCCCACAGCAGACAACAGCATTAGGGCCTTGAAACGAAAGCAGCCCATCAAAGGCAGGAATTCTGTACTGAATGGAAAAGGAATACATACAGCACTCAAGGCATCTGGCTTAAAATATTAAAAAGGAGGACAGCCGAATGGAAAGGGTTCTTTTCTTTGAGAAAATTGCCTGTGGACTGTCTCTTAGTGTTCTGAAGCCGCTCCCTGAAGCTGTTTTATATAATACCTAGTTTTCTCCTGTTTCAAAAGTGCTAATGATTCCGTGGTTGCAGAATTGGAGAAAGCTCCTGGTCCCTCCTCCTGCCCCCTTTTATTCTCTTGAAGTCCTATACGCCAGCAATTGTTTTAAAGTTGGATGGTACTGGGGGCAAAATGCCGTCTAAAGTATTAACTGATACTTGTTTTGAAGGGGTCTCATTTAAAAAGCGGGGGGAATGGGTAAGTTAGGTATATACTTAAAGTCTATGTTGTCCCTTAAGAGCGTTGGTAGAGAACTGAAGGAAAGTAATATTCTTTCATACAACTGCTGAGTTAAATTGCTGTTTACTCATTTAATATCTGTATCCTCTTCATTTCCTGTGTTTAATTGCTGTGCATATCCTTTAAGGTAACTATAGCTGTGGTTATGATGAAGGTCTGTTGTGGAGAAGATCTGGTACGTTGAGAAATGAAAAGTTTTAGATTTGTTCCCCTGACCCCTCCCTCCTAAAATATAAAGAATATTGCCTGATCCAATTAAAGCAAGTATTCTAGGGCAAATTTCAAATATACAAATATTTTCCTACAATTATGCAGCACATATCATCTCTATACATAAATCATACTGTTTTCATACTGGAAAACATATGCTTATATTTATCCCTGCAATAAATAATACTGCAAGAGAAATATATTAAAATGACATTTTAATAAAATATGCAAAATGTAACTGAAATTTCAAAGCAACTGCAGCTTGTGAAATCTTGTCTTTCTAGCCTCTTGAGGAATATTCACCCTGAGAGCCTGTTCAGCTGGAAGTAAATCAAGCTTTCTTCTCTCAAACAAACAGTTTTGAGTTTTATAGTTAGTCTTTATTTAGACTAGAATTGGTGGCGGGCCTGGAATATCACCAGCTGCAGCTTCTTGTGCAGTACACAATTAAAGCTTTTATATTATTTGGATATTTACATACTGTTCTTCCCTGTACATTCACTGGGCAACATATTAAAGCACACTGATACATGTTTCTGCAACCAATGAAAACATCAGTACAAACTACAAATGGCATAACATAAAATAGCAATGAGTAAAATACAAAACTGACTTCGAATAAATTTTAGCTTCTTAACTCCAGAAATCTAGCATAAGTGTGTTTCTTCAGCATCTTCCCATAAGAGTATAATGTCCAGGTGAGATTCACCTTAAGTGTAGAGATCATTCCAGAGCTTTGGAGCTTCCACTGAAAAAGCCCTACCTCGGGCTGCTGCACTGCTGACCTTGCCCATTGCTGATCTTAAAAAATGTGCAGGATGGCATGGGAAAAGATATTCTCTATTTGGGTCTCCCACCATTCCGGGTTTTAAATGTCAGCATAAGCACTGGGCTTGGAAGATATTGACAGCCAGTAGTCCATCCTAAAGTCCTTGAGATAAGAAGGGTTATAATTCAATGTAACACAGCTCAAAGAGACTATTTAAGTCATAACAGGAATGGAGCCTAGGTTGATTGTATCATCTCATTGTATTTACAACAGCAGTTGCAGAAGTGACCAGACTATAGTGTGGATCGCATGACTCAACTGTACTGTGGTGTTTATGTAACAGACAACCAACGAGTGGTACAAATAGAATTGGCTGGATGTGCAACAGTGTATAGGTAATGCAAAACTGCCCAATTTGCGCCAGTGCAGATGTACCTAAGGAATCTGTAAAATTGTTCAGAGGACAGCAAGGAGTTCAGGAATGACGTACAGCCTGGGATCAGCTGAAATATCAAATGCTTTGTGTTAACAGACCCGAACTTTTGGATCAAACTCTTAGCACTCACTCTACTGATTTCCCCCCTCCCTTTCTATTCCCCAGGAAAATCAGAGGCATCAGTAGAAGCTAGAAATTCAAATTCCAGTGTTGAGTGCCTGCTGAAGCTCATCTACCAATGAATAAATATTCTCTCTATGAGAGCGGTAGCTGGAAGGAACGGTTTGGCATCCTGATTTCTCTGAAGGGAATTATTCTAACGGCGTGTTTTCCTTGATTCTCCTGCTGTCTCTACTTATGTTGCCCAAGGAGACATGCCTGTCTTAAATCCTTCCACCACAGAAGCCTCTGCACCTTAGAATATAGGTTGAAGGTTACCCTATAGATAAAAGAAGAGAGGGTGGAATTTAGACTTAGGAATTCGGAGAATAATAGAAAAAAGCAAATAAAGGCGAAAGATGTTGGGGGTGGGGACAGGGAAGGACAAAGAAGCTTATATTCTCAAAAGGTATCAGTAAGTACCAGATTATGAAGGGAGAAAAATGTTTTTGAGATCACAGTGGCATATAACAATCACAAAGTGTATGGATGGTAAATAATAAGCCCAACATTATGATTGAGGCATCATTTTCCTGGGTGTGAATTTTAGACAGTGCTTGAAATTTTGATGGGCAGTAGTCATATGAGCATTATTTTCTTTCCTTTGACTTGGTGTTTAGCTGCAGTGGTGCAAACAGTGGTTTGGGGCCTTGCATCTAAAGCAATACCCTAAGCTTGAAAAGTACAATTCAGCAATACTTACCGGTAAGTCAAGAATCTCTCACTACCCAAAATTTGGGGCACAGGTCTATAGAGTTTGTTCAGATCTTAGGATGTCATGTGTAGGAGAATTAGTTGCCTTCCCATCTTTTCTATTCCATGTAAACGATACAAACTTTATTAAGCTGGGGTGATGAGGTCCATTTCCTCCATTTCTGATGTTCAGGCTATGTTTGTCATGGAGCAAAATGGTCTCGGCAAGCTAGGGGCGAACCCTAGGTTTGCAGAAATACAAAAAAACCTGGGAGGAGTAAGAGTCCCATGGGAACCCCAAGCTGCCCAAATAATAATAATAATAATTTCCCCAGCCACTCTGGGCGGCTTCCAAAGAAATATTAAAATACTGTAATACATCAAACATTAAAAGCTTCTCTAAACAGGGCTGCCTTCAGATGTCTTCTAAAAGTCTGGTAGTAGTTGTTCTGAATGTGCATGGCCATGATGGAACACTAACAAACTGGAACAAAATGGCTGGAATCTTGGACTGCACAGTCCACGCTGCAACATTTTGTTGCATGTCGCACTTGCATATACTTTATCTTTTGTTTTGCTGGTGACCTTATGTTTCAAGTGGAGCCGTAATCAAAAGTGACATGAATCATGTATGTGTTCACAAAGTTCTCACAACTAGTATTTGAATAATATATATACCCAGACACGTAAACATCTGGAACATGCAGTTTTCATAGGCAGCATTTATTTTCCGTATAAGCAGCACACTTAAAGCATTTGCATTTTAAAATCATTGTGCATCCTAAGTAGTTCTACAGTTTTCCTGCAAGGTGAGCAGGGAGTACTACTTTGGCAACAGTTACATCTGTTTAAGTATGGCAAAGGAGAAAGAAAGGGAAAGGATTAAGTGATATACTTCACTGAAATGATGATAGTGACAAGTTACTCTTGGGTAATTTTGATCTTCAGCATTTGCTCTTGCATATCTTCCGGCATTGCTCAGGTAACATAATAGATTTTGATAGGATACAGGCAAACAGTATAACCTTTGCCGAATACTTATGACAAGATATTTATGTGATGTTAATTTCCTTCTTATGAATTCTATTTAAAAAGCAAAATTGTGCTGCAGAAATCCCTCTGTCTCTGCCTTCATGCATCCACTATCCACAGCAATGCAGGATGTCAGGACAGTTGTGAGAACGTTGATGTGAGGTATAGTGCTCACAGCAATCCTTTGACCTCTATAACTATTCTATTTGGAAGGAGCATCCTGACCCTGTGTAGGTTTGTCCTGGCCTGAATCAAATCCCATCCAGTTCAGAGAGTCTCAGTTCCAGAATAAATGCTTATAGGATTGCAGGCAAAAGATATGCATGTTTTCTCAAAAGTACAATTATATATCTAGACAGCATCTTAAAAAGCAGAGACATCACCTTGCCAACAAAGGTCCGTATAGTTAAAGCTATGGTTTTTCCAGTAGTGATGTATGGAAGTGAGAGCTGGACCATAAAGAAGGCTGATTGCCAAAGAATTGATGCTTTTGAATTACGGTGCTGGAGGAGACTCTTGAGAGTCCCATGGACTGCAAGAAGATCAAACCTATCCATTCCTAAGAAAATCAGCACTGAGTGCTCACTGGAAGGACAGATCATGAAGCTGAGGCTCCAATACTTTGGCCACCTCATGAGAAGAGAAGACTCCCTGAAAAGACCCTGATGTTGGGAAAGATGGAGGGCACAAGGAGAAGGGGACGACAGAGGATGAGATGGTTGGACAGTGTTCTCGAAGCTACCAGCATGAGTTTGACTAAACTGCAGGAGGCAGTGGAAGACAGGAGTGCCTGGCGTGCTCTGGTCCATGGGGTCACGAAGAGTCGGTCACGACTAAACGACTAAACAACCAACCAACAATTATATATGCAGTGAACATGCATAGAATCACATAGGGAATGGAAGCTTTCTCCTATTTCCTTTGAAAGCTCAGGCTGAGATCCAAAGAACTGTAAGGAACGCCCCAGAGCTTGAGAAGACCCCAGACTCCTTCTGTTCATCCCTTTGACATGTGGCTTTGGGGCTACTTTGCAGGAATTAGAAGCTCAAAGGCCCCTTAGATACATAGCACTACTCATGGAGTTCTTTGGACTGGAGCCTCACTCGGCCCAGTACTATTTGAGTAAAGGTAAAAAGGTAAAGAACAACTGGGGTTTTGGCGCTCATCTAGCTATACTGGCCAAAGGAGCTGACGTTTGTCCGCAGACAGTTTTTCCGGGTCATGTAGCCAACATGACTAAGCCACTTCTGGGTTAAACCACAGAGCCTAGGACTTGCTGATCAGAAGGTTGGCGGTTCGAATCCCCATGACGGGGTGAGCTCCCGTTGCTCGGTCCCTGCTCCTGCCAACCTAGCAGTTCGAAAGCATGTCAAAGTGCAAGTAGATAAATAGGTACCGCTCCAGCGGGAAGGTAAACAGCGTTTCTGTGCGCTGCTCTGGTTCACCAGAAGTGACTTAGTCATGCTGGCCACATGACCCAGAAGCTGTACGCCGGCTCCCTCAGTCAATAAAGCGAGATGAGCGCCGCAACCCCAGAGTCGGCCATGACTGGACCTAATGGTCAGGGGTCCCTTTACCTTTACCTTCAGCATCCATTAGTGACGATGAGCTCCGATTACAAGATTGTCTATTCTTTCTGATTTGTTAGAGAAAAGGGAGGTGGTATTTTGTTTCAGTTTAAGTACTATTTTCCAGCCTTGCCTTCACAGAGCACACAATTAGTTTGGAAATAGAGTCAACACAACACAACAAATTCGGGTGGGAATTTCTGAAAGGTGTCGCTTGGTCCTGGATCTTAGACAAGTCAATTGAAAAATTGCTTTTGACGGTTTTGTAAACAACTTTGGGGAAAGCTCAACAGTTTGGGGGGTTTCCTTAAAAACGCTTTTGGGTTGTCCTGATTTTTACTTTTTGAAACATGGCAACCCTAGACAAGGAAATAGACAAGGGAACAGAGGTGAAAAATTTCAAGAGTGGGAGAGAGTACATAATATTCCCCCCCGCCCAAGATGCTGGTTATCAGCTCTTGTTCTGAAAATAGACAATATCATCATTTGTTCTTTAATTTAGGCCTTGTTCAGCTAGTGGAGGAGGCTTTCGTCCATACACCTCTTGAAGAGAACCTGCTAACAGAAAACTACTGTACTCACATCCTTGTTGATATTTGAGAATAATAAAAAAGAGAGTAAAGAACTCCATACATAATGTTATAAGAATTATAACAGAAAGGTAAAAGACCATAAGCCACTGCTCTAGATTGAGTATGCAAATTATAAAGTTTACCTTGATGGGTTTTATCCAAGGAAATGTTTTAATAACTTTATCAACGTCAAAGGTGTCATCTGATATTTCTCGTGAAATCTCGAGACTATCCTTTCATCTGTGTTGTAAACACATCAGCAAGTATGTAGCATGTCTTGACTTTGAAACGCTGTCACCTACTTTCTGTAGTGTTGTCAGCAGTCATCTTGTTATAAAAGTGTTTCGTTTCCAGCTCCATTTCCTTTTGGTAGCGTCGACGTACCTCATTCTTCTGCTGTGTTCATAACCTCTTCTGTTTTTATCAGAAATTTAATATGACAGAGTTTCTCTTTCCTTTTGCATCATGTTGTTTTTCTTTGGTCCTTTGCTGTCACCAAGGCAGTTGTGCTACTTTGAGGCTACATTGAGAGTGTTTAGCCAAGTATCTTCGCTGTATTTTGCCAAAATCGCTGCAGGGATTTGAACACAAGTAGATCCTTGATGGTGTGATCTCCCGAAGTTTCAGTCAGCTATTTTCTTTTAATTTAGAATATCCCCAAGCATGAATTGTAAAATGGAGCACTTACTTTCTTTTGGATAAATTGCCCACTTGAAATGTGCACATATAGTTACAGGCATTTAAAAAATACATATACAGTCTCACAAAACTATGGGGCTCACAAGACTGTATGCTCTTCCAAAGATATCCATGCAGATAGAAAACTAGATGCCAGGGCAAAATATATAGAATCCTAGAATTATAGACTTGGAAGGGATCCCAAGGGTCATCTAGTCCAACCCTCTTGCAGTGCAGGAATCTCAACTTGATCATACATCACTTCACCCCCAGAGGTTCACTGCATTGTCTCTGGAGACCAAGGCTTTTCCCCCAGCTGGAACTCAACAGAACTCAGTTCTGGCACCTCTCAAGTGGGCGCCATTGCCATTCTAAGATACACAGAACATTTTCTTTTATTATATTTAAAATTCCAAGTGACCTGACTCGGAATAAACTGTTTTTCTTTTCTAAATTGCACTAAAAACCACTTCTGGGTTTGAACCATCTTCACCCACACCTGCACTCTAAGGAGTACAATTGTGGATCTCATTTTTTCACCATAGATATAAAAATATTCTGTACCAAATCCAATACCAATAGGAGGTAAGTCCCAGAAAAATCAACATGCCATGAGTTGAGTTACAATGAAAAAATGGTAGCTACCAATTAATAACTGGGGGATGGCTTAGATTTCAGGGCATTAGGAAAGCATCAAATGACAAATCTGTCTTGGGGTTAATCAAGTTGAGAACTAGAATTCTTTCCAGCGCTGCAAGAATACAAAGAATATCCACACAGGTTGGTGATACTCCATGAACACTAGTAGTTGGTTGGTTTTTTTTAGATATACACAGCAGTTTAAAACAGATCCTAAGTATCCCATGTATGCATGCTTTTTGCATCCACAATGTCATCATCCAAGTGACAGCCTGAATGTCCTCCCTGTTTAATTTGGATTTTCTCACAAGCTTTCTTTGTTAGGCATTGCAAATATAAAGGTAAAGGTAAAGGACCCCTGACAGTTAAGTACAGTCGCGAACGACTCTGGGATTGCAGCACTCATCTCGCTTTATAGGCCGAGGGAGCCGGCGTTTGTCCGCAGACAGTTTTTCTGGGTCCTGTGGCCAGCATGACTAAGCTGCTTCTGGCGCAACAGAACACCGACACCAGAGCAGCGCACAGAAATGCCATTTACCTTCCCGCCAGAGCGGTACCTATTTATCTACTTGCACTTTCTGGGGTGCTTTTGAACTGCTAGGTTGGCAGGAGCTGGGACTGAGCAACGGGAGCTCACCCCGTTGCGGGGATTCGAACCACCAACTTTGTGATCGGCAAGCCCAAGAGGCTTAGTGGTTTAGACCACAGCGCCACCCGCGTCCCCAAATATAGGCCATCATAAAACATCCATATATAATTTTTAAATATATATATATATAAATAACAATTTGGATTTTCCTGATCTGTGGATAATATGATAAGGTGGTGGTGGCAGGGACACAAATTCAGCATAAAATAGCATATTACCCAACTGTGGATGCAGTGAAGTGCAAGATGGTGAGTGTTCTTTAAAATGAATGTAGTGATGTTTTGCTGGGCACCATCGATCACCACAGCCCCTCATTCTGTTGGCGAGATGGTCCTCCGTGGCCTGCTGGCGGATCTGGGCACGGCATACACATTTTAGATTTATTTTTTTTAAAAAACCAATTGTTTTGTGCAGGCCTGGTGTATTGGGGAACTTGTGCCTCGAAAATAACAATTGGCCATGCACAGTGGGTCTGAACATTGTGCTTTTCTGTTATTTGTGAGTTCAACTTCTCTGTTGTTTATCATTTTATTAGTATTATCATATCTTAATGTATTACTTGAGAGAAAGACGTTTTACAGTCAGAAAGGTACCTTTTAGCTGTTAGCTTGGAGGGGCCAATTTTGACAGAGAATGCAGAAATGCGTAGGTTGTCATATTTTTTGGAAACCCCCCAATTGTTAAGCTATTTATTTATTTATTTATTTATTTATTTATTTATTTACAAAAAAGTGCAATATTTTGATGGGCTCGTCTTAGATCTAGGGCAGAGCACCGCCTTTCAGAAATCCCCCCTGGACGTCAATTCCACCTTTGAAATCCCAGTAATGTCCAGGAAAATCCAGTCGTATGGCAGCCCTAATGGGGGGGGGGGGGAATCCCAAAAATGAGAAATAAAATGAACTCAAAGCCATTTAGAATACTGGCTTCCAAACTTGGATTTCCTAAGTGGGCATGAGTTAGTGCAGTGCTGCATAAAATGTATGCTCAGCCTCTGGAGAGGAGAATGTTGCATCACTCCTGGGAGATTCCCTCTGGCTGACATACAAACAGTATTGGTGGGGTCCAGAGGGACCTGTATTTAGTTCTCTTAGGGCCCAATTTGGCAAACGCTTATGCACTTGACTAACTTCAGGAGAACTATTTGCATGCGTAAGCTTATTCAAGTGCATAAGTGTTTGCAGGACACAGCGATCAAAGGCCGGGTAATAAGGTCAGTAAACATCTTTTTTTTAAAATGGAAACAGGGAGAAGATCACTCCCTGTTTCATCCAAGCAAATGAACTGTATTGCTTGCATTTTATTTCTGGTAGGAGCTAGGAAAAAATGCAGGGAACTAAATTTTTAATTTTTCTCTCCTTGACTTGAGTTGCTATTTTTCATTTTAAAAGAAACTTGGAAGAATGGTGTTATGTACTGAAGTTCTCACCAACAAATGGGTCATTAAAAAACCCCAAAACAAAACAGGGCCTGAGCGTTCAGAAGAAGACAAACTGGAGAAAAGCTATTTAGGTAGCAACACTGCAGTGGCGTAGCGTGGGGGGTGAGGGGGGGCCGGCCGCGCCGGGCGCAACATCTGGGGGGGGGGCGCGCTCGCACTCGCAGCTCTCTGCCCCTACCTGGCTCACTCACTCTCTCTCACTGCAGTGCTGGCTGTGCGAATCCGATCCGAGCCGCTGGGTCGCCGCCCACTGTGGAGGGGGTGGGTGCCAGGCGTGTGGTGCGGAGAGAGAGGGAGGGACTATCTGGGGGAGGGACAGTGCAGCGGCCGCCCAGCGCAGCGCTGAGCGCAGGAGAGAACCACACCAGACCAGCCCAGGCAGCAGCAAGAAGAAGCTGGCAGCGGCAGCAGGTTAGGGGTTAGGGGGCGCAAATTACTTGCCTTGCCCCGGGTTAGGGGGTGCAAATTACTTGCCTTGCCCCGGGTGCTGACAACCCACGCTACGCCGCTGCAACACTGCACTGGAGACGGAAAAAAGCAGGCAAGGGATTCTCCTAGTTTGCAGGTGTTCTCCCATAGCCACAGAGTGCAAATAGTTACTCCCTTCTCCCTTGCCAGCAATTTTTGATAGGGGGGGGGGGGAGTTTGCTTATACCCGAGGTCATACCGTATTGCAATTTGGACATATTGGCTACACGAAATAACTCTTTAAACTTTTAAGTAGGGCTGCCATACGTTCCCTAAGAAAAAACTCAGCATACCAACAATCGCCCATTATAAACATGCAGGGAGGAAAAACACCCAACTATTTCGAAACAGTTATGTGTAACACTTAGCTTAGGGCTGATTTTCCCAGAAATTGCCTGGATTTCAAAGGCAGAATTGACGTCTGGGGGAAACTTCTGAAAGGTGGCGCTTTGTCCTGGATCTTAGACAAGTGAATCGAAA